TCCAGAAACTAGAATAAGCTATGTAGGTGTAATATAGTACACGACGTTACACTACTCCCCACAAGAACATTAAACAGTCTAGACCGTTCGTACGGTTTTTACGCGTTATTGGTCTAGTCGATTGTTACGTCCTTGAATCTGTCTATCCACTTTAGTGCCGAGTATAACTTGTCTAATGTAGATTAAGAACTTGACGCGATAGGCTGGCTGGCTCAACTTTGAGGCTAGTATGCGTGAGTTCGAAGTGGGGGTAGAGAGACGAAAACTATTCTATCCCTGATTGACTGGCAAGCACGAGAGAGAGAGAGAGAGAAGACAAGGACAACTGGAACACTAATCACTTTATTCCAATCCCGATCTAGCACTCGAATTCCCAATTCAGGTTAGTGCAAAAAGATACATGAATAAATAGATGACTAACCTGACCACGACGTACACTAATTAGGAAAATACAATTATGTCCAAAACTGGGGGATTGTAGTAGAAAATAGAGTACAAAAGGTTACGTCTAGATTACAATGGCTTTAGAACAGAAAATGCTATGGCAGTGAATCATACATCAAACGAAAGCTTATGATTTGTAGAATAGACTAGGGGCAAAAGTAAATCTTACAGTTTTACAAGCTTTGAATTAAATGAATTAACGTCCCCAAAAATAGCTTCCGTAATTTGTTAAGGCTTCTTGTTTCGCGGTTCACATCACATATTCTTATTGTTTAACTATTGAGTAATTAGATTGTGTATATCTATATTCATCTTATTATAAGCTTCATTTTGACCTGTGGATTACTATTTTATGATTTAATGTTCCTAAATTATATTCAGTTTATTGATTTTTATATCCCACGTTCACAGCTACATGTGGCCTGAACTCTTACAGATATTATTTTATATTTTATGGTGTGATGTGGTCTGTCTGTCTGGTATATAAACAGAGTGTGCCTGAAATAAATGATTCGTATAGCAGAAGCTGTAATTGGTGTTCTGGACTCAAGTGGAAGGTCTAGGCGGACAAAGGACCAATAAGGACGCTGGACTGCTCATACCAGTTGAATATCATTGATTGGCACAGTGTAAAGGTCGGAAAAGTTGTAATTCGATTGGTGGATAATTCACTTGATAAAAGCTGGACACAAAATCAATAACGAATCGGCATACGTCCTTTGTTGTATTTTCTAAAGTCGTAACAAAGGAACGTCGGTTTGATCAACCTATCTATCAAGAACACCTCTGCAACCCATGGAAGAATTACTGACCCGTTCAGTGTTTGACTATCAATCAACAATGAATGATCACGCCAGCATTCGACGGGACTTTAACGACATCTCTTCCATTATTAGATGTTTATCATATCTTGTGGCATTAATTTTATTACATAACTATCGTTGATGATTTGTTACGTGTCTTCTGTATTGTGATACGACCATATAAAATGAAAGAGGGTAAGAAAACATAATACGATCCTTTGAGGAAGTACCGCGAGCGTCATAACAACGCCATGTTGGCGATGTATGATTTTCCCATGCACTTTCCGTCTATTAAGTGTTCACTCGTTTTCCTTTAGAGTTGCACCCAAATAAATAATAAAGGGTTATATACATCAAAAACAATGATTACAAAGAGTCAAACCTGAAGAACTGCTCCACTGCCTGTATTATATTTTAAGGCACATGATGGGGATAAATAAATATATTAAATAATTGTTCCGTTTTGCATAAGTGTTCGGTTTCCAGAAGGGATTTGCAATCCGTCAGGTAACAGATACAGTGTTGACATCTCGTGCAAGAAACGGCATTCAAAGGAGAAATACTCCTTTAAAATAAGAGCATCGAATAGGTTTTCTATGATCTTACATCAGTCAGTCACAACATAGAACTTCGCATGCATGTACATCAGTTTGAGTTGCTATACCACATTAGCACAGAGATGCAATTGTCAATTCAAATTCCATAGACCCACGATAGCAAGATCAATCACAAGCGAAAGCTGGAGCTGACAATTCCACTCGTGGACTGTCTTGATCATAAAAAAACGTGTAAAGGACAGGGACTACCAACTCGGTAAACATTGTATCGTAGGCTACCTGTCCACTCACGTACGGCTCATATAGACACACAGGAAGAAGCTCATGCGTTCCAAATTGAAAGCATAAACTGCTTAAACACGAATGCCGCGAGTTTGCCAAACAAAATGGATGAGCTACGTGAACTTAGCAACGCTAATGATGCTAATCTGATGGGAATATCCGAAACTTGGATATCGTCTCAGTTTACGGACCGGGAGCTAGCAATACCTGGAATGTCTTTATTTCGCGACGACAGGAAAATTGGAATGGAGGGTGGGGTAGCATTATACATACGGTCATGCCTGGAGGCGCATCAACTTAATAACCAAGAGTTTCTCAATCTTGATGAGTCTGTGAAGTGCCCAGTAAGATTGTCTACCACCTCGAGGTGTCTAGTTGGGGTCATCTACAGGAAGTCCACTGCCGACATCGAGTATGACAATCGTCTGCTAGAAAGATTTACTCGCTCTACGTGTCTTGGATTCTCTCGAATCCTGATTCTAGGGGAATTTCTAGAATCAACATACATACATTGGAGGTGAAAAATCCATTGAAGCTCTGTTCTTCAACTTCATCAGTGACCTGGTATTATTCGAAAATATGAAGTCGGCAACTCGTTGGAGAAACAGCCAGACGCCATCGCGCTTAGACTGGGTATTCACAAATGAAGAATTCCTAGTCGACGACCTCTCAATCTTGGCTCCCCTAGGGAAAAGTGATCACTCCGTCCTATCCCTCAGCTTTGTCAGCGAAACGGAGCTAAGATATTCCACTAGCAACAGGCGTTGAAATTTCAAAAGGTAGAATGTGTTAGCTTTACAGGACTATCTGCAACAGGTGGATTGAGATGTTCACCCTCAACTTGAAGTGGGTGCTCAAAGGGATTTTTACTGCAGACTATCTTATGTGCTACCGAGCGTTCAGTTCCTCAAATGGTCCCAAAAAGCTACAAACAACCTCCAATCATCAAGAACCGCACTCGTCGTTTGCTAAGCCGCAAAAGCACTGTTGGGCCCAATACAAACGAACCGACAATAACGACGCATACAGGCAATACAAACACATAAGGAACATATGTTCAAAGGCAATAAGAGAAGACAGGCTTCAGTACCAGACCTAGCTTATCGATAAATTCGTCTCCAATCCGAAAAGCTTATTCAGTTACGCAGCTTATCTTCGACAAGGCAAAACTAGAGTTTCCCAACTGCTAGGTCCTAATGGCCTGACCAATAACGACGGTGATGCCGCTAACCTTTTGGCTGAACAATACTCTCAGACATTCCAGCCGACCCGCATCAACTATGCTGACTAAAGCTTCACCTGCACCTGTACAGGTCTTTCCGAAGTGGGCCTGAGTGCTGACCTGGTGCTCCGTAAACTGCAGCACCTAAGAAAAGAAACTTCTCCAAGTCCGGATATGGTTCATTCTGCTGTATTGAGGGAAGCAGCTTCAATCCTGGCATAACAACTTAGCGTGGTGTTTACACACCCGCTAAGCAGAGGCAAACTACCGGAAATTTGGGAGCTGGCTAACATCAGACCAATTTTCAAAGGAGGTCGACGCAGTGAACCCTCAAGCTTCCGACCATACCTAAAATTATGGAGTCTCTAATATACGACGGTATGCAAGAATACTTATCATCTTTAAAGTTCTTCTCGCCTCAACAGCATGGTTTCAGAAAAGGTCATTCTTGTATGACCAATCTGCTGACTGTGGTGGATAGATGGACAACCATCCTTGATCGCAAGGGGAAGGTTGACGTCATTTACCTGGATTTCTCAAAAGCTTTTGATAGGGTCAATCAATAAACTTGGACGATTGGGTATCAAAACCCCTTTGATTGACTGGCTCACTTCATATCTAGAAAACCGAAATTTTAAGGTCAGGGTTAACTTCACTCTCTCTCAGGCTATGGAATGTCCTAGTGGGGTCCCCCCAGGTCTCAGTACTAGGACCTCTTCTCTTCTTGACTTACATTAACCATCATCCACAACAAGTTTCATCTGACTTATTACTTTTTGCTGATGATGTGAAACTTTGGAGAGAGGTACGTAACCATAAGGATATACTAGTACTTCAGGAGGATCTGACCCGACTTCAAAGTTGGGCAGACGACAACGGACTTACTTTCAACACTTCAAAGTGCAAAGTAGTCCATCTGCGACATGTTGCAGACTATAGATAAAACTTAGGTAACTCCTCTCTAGAAGTTTCCCAAGTCGAAAAAGATTTAGGAGTGTTGGTACCCTACGACCTGAAGTCGTATGCGAACTGTGACAAAAACGCCTTTAAAGCAAACCTTGCACTGGTAACATTGAAGCGCATTTCTGGTAGAACCTTGTACATAATCTTTAATAGTTTTATTCGTCCCCATTTAGAGTATGGAAACATAGTATTTCCTCCCTTCCTCCAAAAGGATAAGGACACTCTGGAATGTATCCAACGTCGAGCCACGAAATCAGTTCGAAGACTCAAATTTATACCTTACGAAGAGCGCCTCCAATCACTTAACCTTTACCCGTTAGAGTACAGGCGTCTTAGAGGTGACCTTCTTATGACTTACAGTATCCTTAACACTTCTGATCTTTCCCTTAAACATCTTCTTAAGCTTAGTCACAACACTAACCTAAGAGGTAACACCCAGAAACTGGAGACCCAACATAGCAGAACAGACTGCAGACACAACTTCTACTCTGTAAGAGTTGTCAAATGCTGGAATTCGCTGCCTAATGAGCTAGTCCAAGCGACCTCCCAGTAGTCCTTCAAGAGGAAACTTGACTTATTCTTAAGGACTAAGGATAATATATTATTATGATTTACAAAATTCACTGTTTTCCTCTATTATCGTTAATATACCTAAGTTTTTGCCTGGAGGTATTGGTGATCCACTGCTACTAGACACGGGAGCCCGTTAAGCGAAAGCTTCTTCTATTCCGTCCTCAACCATTTGAACCATTGAGAATTAAAATTACTATATTCAATTGTTGCGTTACAGATGTGCATGGACAAGATGTCCGTGACACAGGTATGTGGGCTTTTCTTTAAATGTATCAAAGACTTCTAGGGGATTTCTGTATGATGTTGGACTGGTATAGTCATATTCTGGACGGTGTGTAGATTCGTCGAGAATGCCTTCAGTGCTACTCTAATTTTCTTCAGTCTTCAGTAATAAGGATAGAAGGTCTAGTGACCTATTTTAATCCTTGCAGTTTGTTACACTGTGGAGGTCCAATCTCGTCTTGAATATATCAACAGAAGGTGCTGATATTACGTGTTCTGGTAGAGAATTCCAGTAATTCACTACTCGGTGCGAGAAACGAAACTCCAGACGTAGACGATTTGATCTCGGTTTTTGGACTTTCTTTGAATGTCCTCTCAAATGCTCAGCCCTAGACGGGAGGAAAAGATAGGACATGTTAGTACCAAGGTCATCGTTCAGGATTCGATATGCCAATATTAGATCACCCCGTATTCGCCGGTAAGATAACGGAAATAAGTTGAGGTGTCTCAGTCTGTCTTCATAAGATAGGGTAGATAAGCCTTTTACCATTTTGGACTCGTTCCAACATAGCCTCATATTTGAAACAAGGACTCGCTGCTTGAATCCCATATTCCAAATGTGGCCGTACGAAAGTTGGGTATAATAATCTAAACATTTCCCCATCCAGATACCGGAAAGATCTACGAATAGACCATAATGCCCTATAGCCTTTTGCAGCAGCAGCCTTACAGTGACTGGTTGTTTTGAGATCATTACTTAGTATGACTCCTAAATCATTATAGTTTCTTACTTTGGGCAACACTAGTCCACATAATGTGTAGTGATACGAATCATCGTAGTTATTTAATTGCATCACAACACTTTTATTAGGGTTTACTTCTAGTGACCATCCATTCATCCATGCAACTAGTGAGTTAAGATCTTCCTGTAAAACTATTCTGTCTGATATACTATATATGGGTCTCCAAATCTTAATGTCATCGGCGAATAGTAGGACGGATGACTTAGCTATAGCTGGTAATTCATTTATATAAAGTAAAAAGAGAAGTGGACCTAAAATCGTGCCTTGGGGGACGCCACTTTTTACGGGTTCCCACGATGAGAGAGCCCCATTTACTCTTACCCGTTGTCTCCTTTCATGAAGAAAGTCACTTAGCCAGTCTATGACTGCATAATGAATTCCAAAACTTTCTAGTTTCAATTTAAGACCAAAATGGGAAACCTTATCAAAGGCTTTACTTAGATCTATGAAAATGACATCTACAGGAATATTGCGATCTTTTGCCTCAGCCCAATCTTCTCTTGCAATGAGAAGATTTGTCAAACATGATAGACCTTTTCGAAAACCATGTTGTTCCTTTGACAGAAGATCATGTCTTTCCACGTAGTTTATAACAGCCATCCTAATAATTTTTTCCATTAGTTTTACAACTGCACTAGTTAAGCTGACGGGTCGATAGTTACTAACTAAATCCCTACCCCCAGTCTTATACACCGGACTGATTATTGCGTCCTTCCAGTCTCTGGGCAATCTGGACTGCCGTAGGGACATATCGAACAGCATCGCTAAGGGTTCAGCAATAGCATCTGAGAGGGCTTTCATAATCCGAGGATGAATATCATCAGGACCACTAGACTTATCAGGTTTGAGATGCTGGAGTAGGCTTAAAAGTTTCTTTCTTAATAACTACAGGGTCCATCAACAAGTCGCCACAATCACAATGAATAGGTGATCGTTCCTCATTATTGGTAGAAAAAACTTTACTGAAATATTCCGAAAAAGCTTCCGCTTTTTCGGTATCATTTCTTGCCAAACTTAACGGATTTTCTTGTATCAAAAGTGATGGTATTCCATCAGTTCTCTGAGTTCGCCTCTTTATATACGAGAATAACCGTTTTGGACTATGTTTGCAATCCCTAACCAATTTTTTTCGTATGACCGTCTAGTTCTACTAATTAACGCTTTACAATTATTTCTAATCTTACGATAACTAGATCTGTACTGTTCTAAGTCAGTAGAGATGAACATGTTCCAGTGTTTTTTTCTACACCTAAGGAGTTTCTTAACTTCTTTATTTATCCACGGTGGACTATTGTTCGGTCTACGTGGCACCAAGTATGGTATGAACGGGGACGTGACTGCACTAAACTTGCCTTTAAATACAGACCACGCCTCATCAACTGATGAGCTAGTATCTACTGACCAATCTATCTTAGTAGCACAATCCTGAATTTCTGGTATGTTAGCTCTCCATATGTTTGGGCGAGGCTTAATCTGATCGTATATCATATCGCTAGATCTAAACGTGAATGATAAAACAGCGTGATCGCTATTTACTAACGGGGGAAGAATATTTAGGTTGGCAATATCCTCAGTCTCATGAGTAATTACCAAGTCCAACAGAGAAGAACCTTGGTTTACACCAAAACGTGTAGGTTTGGATACATGTTGTACTAGTGCATGTTCCATTACTGTTTCCAAGAGCCTGCTATCAAATGAGTTTATAGAGCATTTCGTGGTCATCTCAGTCCAACTAATGTCAGGTGCATTAAAGTCTCCTAATATCAAGCATCTGTTATTTGCACTCCATAGCCGAATGTGCTCTAAAATAAAGTCATCAGCTAAGCAGATTGGGCTGCGATAGATGACACCGAGTGCAAACGTACAACATCCGACAGTGAGTTCACAGCTAATGGCTTCACTAGTTCCACTATCATGGGATTCGCAAACGGAGGAGCGGATATTTATACTATTGGCTATGTATAGAAGGACGCCACCTCCTTTCCTGCATCTATGTCTATCACTTCTTAAACAATGATATCCGGATAATTCTGGGGTGATATCGAAGTCATGGACTAACCAAGTTTCCGTCACAGCTACAATGAGTGGCCTTAATTTGTCCACTAATGTTCCTAGCTCGTAGAATTTATGTTTTAGACTACGGGCATTGGCATATAAAACTCCTAGGGGGAACGACCTATCCACAAAGGCCTTGGTAGCATTCGCTTCCAAGACCTGACTATTCGAAAACCCACCAATCGGAGATTTTCTTCACCGTTTTGTCGACGGGTTTCTAGTTCAGCTAGTGCCGTCTTCCTTTTTATTCTATCTTCAAGAGATACATCCGGTCGCATTCTAATATCAGAGTTGTCGTAACTTCGAGCGTTACTTAACAGAAGATTACGTTGTTTCTCCGACCCTAAGATTACCTTAAGGAGTCTACACGGTCGGGGTAGAACACTGTCATCGGCTCTTTTACCTATTCTAACTAATTTTTTGACCTGAACACCTTTAGTGTTATCTGGTAATATGCTACGGATATATTCTCCGAGCCTCTCTAAGTCATGGGTGTGTCTAACCTTAGGACCTGGATCGTTAGACTCTGGCAATTTACTCACAATAATATTCGATGATATTAAATTCCTCTCAGTCGCACTAGGATGATGCTCTGCCGTTCTATCAGAGTGCGATAATGCATTGAGTGACTCAGACTGTGAGTTCCTCAATGGCTTGTCAACCAAGCGTGCTTTATCATCAGCTTTTTTCCTTTCCTTTTCCTCTTTACTGCGGTCCATTTTTGGTCATTCAGGACAGCTGCATTGGGACTATTGGGGACGGTGACGGTTTTATCCGGGTCCTCAATTTCTACTAAAGATACATGATTACTCATGTCAATACCATGTGGTGATTTACTCCTCGTTGGTTGTAACGGAAGTTTCACTTCGTCATTAATTAGAGTAGGTTGTTCAGCGCGTTTTGTAACAGCACTTACAACACTGACACAGTCTTCACTGTCAGTGCTTGCGTTACTAGCGCACCCACTATCTTTCTTTTTACAGGCTAGAGCCAATAGGCTCATAGCCTCTTGAATTAATGTCGTCTTGTTAGTACAGCAGAACATACAAAGCCAGTGCGAGTTAGGCTTAGAACATCTTTTGTATGCAGCTGGACTGAGACGGGTACACACCTTGTGGTACCATTTTTTGCATTCATCGCACTGCATCCCTTCATCTACGGGGAATAAACAGTTCGGCTGTCCACATTTGAATGAACTACCAACCATTGTAATCAGATTAGGTTTAAAAAACAATATGATCACAATAATAGCACAAGCGTCAGAGTATATGCAAAAGAAGGAACCAAAAGACAAAGTTTTCAATAAAATTTCAAACCTTAACTAGATTAATTCAAGTTAAAGTAGACCAAGAATGCTTTTGATACAGCAAATACACAAAAGCAACGATAATCACAACAAGTATGAAAGTCACTGCCCCCTTTCTGTGGTATGAAATGTTCAACCAAACGGTTTCGTTCTTGTTCACATGGTTTATAGTAATCCGGACCGACATCACACATTTCCTCTCTAACGACTTGGATATTTGGGTGATAGAAGCCACCTAACTTGTTGGACGAGTGCTTGTCGAAGTGAGCACATTGTCAACCACTTCATCGAATTCACAGATTCGTTTGACTTGTTCTTTCCGTGAACTTAGCCATTCATAGCATAAATAACCATAGGAAGTCAACGAGATTTCTGGAAAAATTTTGCAACTGTTCATTTATTATCAATTTAGTAAGTAGATTGATAAGTTTGGTTGCTAACTGTTGAAGGTATTATCAGATATTCAACACAACACAAAAGTATCAAACATATACTAGGGTGCTCGTAATTTTCACGTGCCCTGACTTTCAGACTCCTTTTCGTTTTAAAGTTCCTCAAATATCTAGCCTAGTCGTTAAGTCAAACACCGTAATCACTATGTTATCGCTCCATTCGTACTGACTGTTTTCTATCGATGATACTGTACATATTGGACTGATGGATGCAGTCGTTAAAATAAATTGAAACATATCATTGGTCGAATATTAATCATAGTACCAGACTAATAACGACTAGTGTAGTAACTTTTTCCGTAAACAAACTTTGCAACTGCTTTTATCGTAAAACGTATTTCTTATAGGTAAATGACGTTTTCTACATAGATCAGTTCGATGGTAATGCACATGTTCGTGGGACTCTACACTTAACTCTGACGCACATATTTTTTCTTGGATTATCTAGAAAACAGGAAATATGGGTAGTCTTTGTTCTTGCTTGTTCATGTATATTCAGTATTTTGATGAATATATCATTGTTTAACATAAAATGTGCTTTTTGCGTGTGTGTAGCTTGTTAAAACAAATCAGTGTATAAATACACATGTTATTCCGCAAGAGTAACCGATAAATGAGATTTTGAAATATTGTTACTTACCGGTGTTATCACCGCATTACCAACTCAAAAAACTTATATTGGATGAGTTTATTCATTTTTCACCTTTCATTAAGTATACATGGTCATTAAAGGTCTATACAACCACGTCCAGGTCGAAAACCATCCTGGTTTTCTCTAGTCTGCTCTTCACGAGCATTGGTTAGACGTCCAAGTATTATTGAAGCGAATATTTTAGACACTGTGTTAGTCAAACTAATCCCTCTGCCTATCCCAGCCAGTTAAGTCCAAAACACCAATAACAGTCTCTGTGGTATGAATCATTGTATTTCAAACATACTGAGTCTATATACCAAACAGACTGACCACAACGTACCAATAAAACGGAAAATAACATTTGTACAAGAGTTAGCCAAATGTGGCTGTGAATAGGGAGAGCAGTAATTAATAGACTGGGTATAACTTAAGAATGGTAAATCGTACAATAATAGTCCAAGGGTCAAAATAAAGCTCACAATGAAAGGAACATGAATATGAGTAGTTTAATTATTTAGCGGATATACGATAGAAATTATATGCATAATATGGGTCCATAAATGGATCCCAAAGTTACCATTTACTATTGTTATCGGGATATAACACTTATAGACTGACACAATCAGTGATTGGGACCAGTCAGATGGAATTACGTCCAGTTCCCAGATGCTACCTAAGACCTCAGTCAATCGCGCTGCTAACACTGGACCACCATCCTTAAAAATCTCGGGAGTAAACCTGTCAGGGCCTGCCGCTCTCTCTCTTCAGATTTCCTACAGCTTTTTCAACCTCGTAGAGAGTTAGAGGACTTACATCAATTTACCATTCAGGACGACTGGGAGTCGTGGGAAACCGAGGTGTTGCTGAAGGCCAGTTGAACTGATCCCTAAAGTGTTCTACCCATCGATCCGATCTCCTGGATTGAGAATGAATGATATGTCCATCTTTATCTGAGATAGTTTCGCTGATAGTTGGGTTCCCAATACCGGTTTCTTTAACAAGTCTGAATAGCTGTCTGCTGTTACCTATTGCCACTGCCTTTTCCATCTCTTGCTTTCGCTACCCACCACTGTTCACTATCATTGCGTAGGCTTCTTATCAGCCTGCGCTTAAGCTGACTTCGCTCTTCGTTATGTTCAGAGCCAGGTGGGATGAGTTTTCGAGCATCTATCAGTGTGGTAGATGCTGCCGAGATCCATTGTTTCTCTTTAACCTTATGGTTTACCGTACTAGCGGATATCACTGCTGTTTCCACAGCTTTTCGGATGTCATTCCACGAAGTTCGGAAACAGAATAGGATGGATCGTGTGATAATTATAGTTGTGAAGAGTTTACATAAAATGCAGATCACTTGAAAATAGATATAGAAGACTTAGAACAATGCAGTGGTGATTGTTTAGAATTAAAATTAAAGTTACACAATAACTACACAAGATCTGAAGAGTTTAGAGAATTATGTGGATGAAAAAAAGGATGATTTCGGCATACATAAAATAAAAATTAGTTCGACGAAGACTACATTGCAAAAGAGACACTGATAAAATAGTAGTAATAGACATAACAAAAATACTAATTCCAGGTAATTTTAGTCAAATCTGTAAATTTAACAAATTGATAAGTTGATTACTGTTTCTTTCTGGACAAACAGATCAGGTTCGGGCCCTTTAATTGCTATATATATATCGAGTTCTTTTGCCTCACATTATATCATAGCTCAATGTCACTTTAATCCATATATCATTGTGACCAGCTGATGAGAAACCATGAAGCAGAATAAATTTATATTATTCTGCCTCAGTTGTTGATCTGGCTTGACTTAACTAATTTGTTTTGATCATGATATATTTTTTGCGTTCATTTTGTATAGTTACCGAATCAACTGATTTCTTCAGTTGAACGTCTACCGTTAACTACTGGTGGTGCACCTTTGATTATACGTGGGAAAGATTTCCGTGTAATTCGTTTGGTTGTTTTAAAAGAACGAGATTGTCACGATGTTTATTCAACATTGACTCAGTTACTTTGTGTGGGTAAGTGTGAAACTCAGGAATAAAACGTGAACGAAGTTTAATAAAATCGTTCATTTCTCAGATGTTATCTTTTAGTAACTAAAGTAACAGCATTTGCTGTTACTGAGTCAAAGTGAATGACACATCCTAAGTAAAAATTTTATAAATTATTTATTAAAAGCTTTAGTTACTTTACTAAATTGACTCACTAAGATAGCTCTAGTTACCATGCATGAATAAACTGGACAATTCAGTCGGCTCTGATAGCCCCAAATCTCCATGCCATTTGTTCTACTATCTTTTAAACATACTGTTTTTTCATTATTATTATTAGCCTTATTCAGTATTATACTTTTGATACCATTTATAATTCTCTCTTTGTTCTCGTTGTGACTCATCTGAATGGTACATATCTCCTCTGTTATTTAAGTCAGCTCTGTTCAATGCGTCGCCGCACTAACTATATACTTAATAGTTTTGTTATATCTAGAGCTTGAGCGCTCGAACGCTAGAATCCTCCAACTCGCAACTGAGCAGACAAAAGACAAGTGAAAGGTATGCCATTCCAGTGTCAAATATGGTACAAAGCTCTCAGGTTTTCAGTAAAAACGAAATCATCATTATGGTCATCCAATCCGCATACAGGGGGTTTTAGCATTTGTCCAATAGGGCAACTACACGTAGAGATTCTAAAATATTCTTCCAAAAGATGATTGGATGGAGTATCTTTGGCTCTTCTTGAGTTTTCTCGAGTTCACCCGTGGGACGTACTCACAAGTTTATATACAAGTTGTAAATTAGGCAGTAAAAGAATAACTGTACATTCGTGATATATTTCTGATTTTTTCTCACTCATCAATACATGTCGACCAGGTGGTTTTAATCAAGTTGCTGGATAGCTCGTTTATTCATCAAAGTTCATTGGTGTGTTTAAATTGCAATTCATACACAGCAGATATATGTTACAGACAATATACCGACAAAATATTTTATGGATTATCAATAAGTAATACCCAAACATACTACACATCAGTTATCATTGCAGATCTGTACATGTGCCTTTTTGAACTTAATAATCTCGAATGCTGAGCAGTGTCGTAACTAAAACAATTCCTACTTAACTTGTAAGCTGACTTCCTAGTACATGATAGTACAAGATTCAGTTTTGTGTTTAAGTCAAATTACCATACTCATAAAACAGAATATTTCTCACCATTAGCTTGAGTATAATTTACTCTAGTTAGCAAGTGAACTTGTAAAAAAGGTTTGTTAATGACGATCTCTTTACGTTGCTCCACTGCCTTGTGGAATAGACCTTTAGGTTGAAGGCTCTGGCTGTGGCTCCCTAAGAAAGCCACTTGCTTCGGTCTGGACACCCGTGCAGTATCATAGCCCTCACACAAATCAAATGAGATTTGTGCGGCGCATATATATCTGGTGCCTTCTCATACCTATGCTTATATGTCTAAATAACAATAATACTCCCGGGGTTACCAATAACATGTACATTCTCACATCTTGTGAAATTTTCATTAGTCAGTCTACCTTTGTGTTTCAGAAAGGGAAGCCATCTAAACATGGATTTGTTTCATTCCTTCTATGGAATACGTTTGACTATGAATATCTTTTTTCATACTGATTTTTTTGCGCTTTACCTTCTGCAGTGTTTGGGACAATAGTTCGGAAGATTTTTATAGAAGCAGCTATTTAAAGCATGTGGTTTTTCGTAGTTTTCTGTTAGACATTCAAAAGTAGGATGGTGGCTCAATTATTAGAGCATTTGACTACTGCTAAGTTGCACGTCCAAACCTTAGCCTACCTAATTTAGCTTTTCGCAACTGAGTAGCACCACTAGCCTTCATACATTTAGATTGTGACTTGAAGCAAAGTATGCAAATCTGTACCCCGCAATTGAGTATTCACTAAGATGTAAATGGAGTAGATATGTGATAAATAGTTTTCATTAGGAATTAATGTCATTTCAAGAGTCACTAAGAAACAGAGGGAAGAGGACATTAAACAGCTGTTTCGCTCTAGTTTTAAGAATTCACGGCAACTGGGTTCACTGATGACGACTCCACACACAAGATCTAGTTCAAAACCTTCAATTCTCGTGATCGTTTGTTTATTCTTTGTGCACTGTTTTATAAATCTGAACTTGTTCAGTTCCCATAATTCTTCTTATCTCTTTCGTTTCATGGAATGGATTTTATGTAGCACATGTGTCTGCACTCCCGTGTTATCAATTTGTTCCGCCAGATTGTTATTGGTCTCAAAAAGAAGGCTGGTCAACATTTTCACTGAAATCTCAGTATAATCGATTTGGATTACCTAATTATTTTTGGAGTCTAACAAATGTCAACAAAAATTTTGAGGTTAGTTGTATAAAATTTAGGGTTAACATAGAAAATGAAACTGTATTCACAATCAAAATTTCTATTTTACAATTATCAGAATTATTATTCTTAGCTCTGCTAGTAACCAAACTTTTGATGAGACAATAGTCGATAATTGTGAATCATACTCAACACAAGTCAATCACAAAAAACTGGTCATGTGAAGTGAATTTAGTTATGGGAAGTTTTTATTGATTGTTGTTACTGATTTAATACAATTCCAATTGTTTCACCTAATCATTGACTCGCATGCACTAAATCATTGATCATCTCAAATTGTTCTAATGAAAATAAACGAGATTACGAATTTTCTGTACTGTAGATGTAGGATACAAAGTCATTCATGAGTCAATGAAATCAAGGCATGCTTAGTTATTCCTCAGAAAAGTATTTGGAATAGATTCTGTAATCGAATATTTCGTAAGTTCTGTCTAGTAAAACGGCTCAACTACCTTCTGGATAGAAAATCACATCTGTCGCGCGCGCGTGTTTGTTTATTATTTATTTATTTAAACATAAATATTGGTACAAGGAAGCACCAGATACATGTGCGCCATACAAATCTCATTCGATTTGCTTGAGGGCTGTGATACTGCCCAGGTGCCCGAACTGAAGCAGGTGGTTTTCTTAGGGAGCCACACCCGGAGCCTTTGACTAAAAGATCTGATACACAAGGCAGTGGAGCATCGTGAGGAGATGCAGTCAAATGGTAGCCGGTGATCAACGATTGATTCGTACGCCATTTGTTCCCTCAGGATACTGGAGCCCATGTGCACCATTGGTTTGGAATCAGGGTTTTCCAACTCCCCAAGGTAGACTATTCGTGTCCACCAACCCGGTTAAAGTGCCGGACATTCGCTTTTCGTCCTCTCACTTTCGTAAACAACACCCCCGCCACGAGAAGGCAGTGAGTAGGACTTCCCTGGCAAAGGCTATATATTCGCTGGCCATGTGAGAGTATTTCGAGAGGGAGAGGTGACTCTCGCCACTCTCGGCCGTACCAGGGCATTTGAGGGCGTGTGTTTGAGGGGCAAGAGATGATGTAGGAATGAAAACAATACTATTATTGATTTACAACATGATAATTGAGTCAATTAATCATCAGCTTTCAGTTCATAAATGTAGATCCCATCTTTATATAGTTTTATACGATTACACATATCATTAGTCTATTATATAACAGATTGAACTGTCAACTTATTGATTTGCCCTGTATGTGAAGTTACAAAAATACATGTGATGCTTGGAATCAGACTGAATAAAACAACGGAATCATATAATATTCAACCGAATAAAGAAAGTTCAAATGTTTTTTGATTAGACTACTGATCAACATTTATTGTCTAACCCGTAATATGATAAATATTTTATTTTTCAAATGCTAACTTTTTGTTTAACACAACAACGCCTTTGCCTAGTACTAAAATATCATTTAATATGGACTACTATTCTGAGCTTTTACATATTTAAGATGTACTTTAGACTGTTCTGCTTGGGTTCGATAGGATTATCATGATCTATAATCGAGTATCTTAAGTGTCACTTGTTTACCAATACAGTTTTCTGTACGTGTTTGAGTCACATTATGTAAAAACTACTGTACTACTATTCAGTTGCCTTAAACTCAGTTAAGTAGATCGGTGTTTAAACTCTGCGATCTACGGGTTGAAGTGATTTGCTAAATGCTGTCTGACACCCTGCAGACTTAATGTGACAGTAGCAGTTGTACGGATTCATCCATTCTTCATCTTTCTTCTGTGTTTCGATTTTGATCACACTAAATTTCAACAATAATCATTAAAGTATTGAAGTTTCCGGCTGGTTTACAGTAACTTCTATTTACGAACGATTGAGGCTTCTAATACAACGCAACGAATAGGGACTTAAATACACTGGTCATTCTATACACATCAAAACTCCAATATTAATAATCCACACACCTATAGAGAAAACGTGACTCATTTTATATTCGGTACCAAAGTTAGGAAAATAAAAACTAACGACTCTGTTTTTATTACAACATTCAATAACCTTGGGGTGCATAATAAAGTTAGCAAACTAAAAGCGACGACAACCGATCAGGTAGCAGCAAATGTTATTACGGAAATATTAATTAGAAAAATCTTATCGAAATCATCTTTCAAAGAAATAATCACCATGCTTTATATTTATTTATTTATTTGAGCATACAAATATTGGTACAAAGGGGCACTAGATGCATATGCGCCACACAATAACAATGAGAATGTAAAGAGATAAAGAATGTAAGGTGTGTATAAGTAAAAAGGGGAACAATAACGAACAGAAATTAGTGTATGATAGTGAAATAATAATAATGGGAGAGAAAGTTCACTTAGCGAAATTACAAACAGAAAATATTTTTCCAGTAAAAGTAGTTACATCCATCTTTTATGCAGAAAGTAAAATAACGTAACAGCAGGATCGCCATTGGCTTCTATTCTGAGTCATGTCTGATAACGTCTCCAGCCACTGTGTTGCACCATCTCTAGGACCCCAACCAGGGAGTCGTGAATGACCAACAGAAGCCAGTCTTGTACAACTTTCTTTCATACCACGACACCACGTCAAACACTGACCACCTCTCCACTTTTTCAAGCAAGTCCCGGCGTCAGCAAATAATGCACGACGTGGAATTCTCTGGAACGATATTCATGGAACATGTCCAAACCACTGAAGTCGATATTTTCAAGATAGTGACACCAGTTGAATTGTCATCTCTGCGCCCGAACACACGATGCCGAACCTCTGCATTACTAACATGATGTTGACACTGGATGTCAGCAATCCTTCGGAGACAACGATGATCGAACACAGAGTTGTCTAACATCCTCAACTCGGAGAGGCCAGGTTTCACAAGCATAGAGCAAAACTACTCTCACTGACGCGTTCTAGATCCGACCTTATACAGCCAGATTAACATCACGAAGGCGCCAGAGATGGCCCAGATTGGTATAAACCGCTGTGGCTTTCGCTATATGTGAATAGATTTCATCACTCACGCCACCACCAGCACTTATGTAGCTACCTAGATACACGAACTTCTTAACTACTTTAATCTGCTCACCAACCGGGGTGAGTACAGGATTAGAATCCTGCCAGTCTTGTAGGAGTACTTTCCACTTTGAAGGTGCAAAGCACATACCATACCTACGGACACTGATTGCCAACTGATTAAGTGCGGATTGCATGGCTTGGGCATCATCGCACAGTAAGACAATATCATCCACATACTCGAGGTCGAGGTGTCTTTCTCCAGACAACAGATCCACACCGCGATTACTTACGTCCATCAGAGCTGTTTCCAGAATGTCGTCGATGGCAAAGTGGAAGAGGAATGATGAGACTGGTCAACCCTCTCTAACCCCACTGCGTGAATGGAACAATGGAGAAAGGTAGTTGTATGCCCTCACTCTGCCTGATCTGTTTGTATACAGGGCCTTTAAGATGTTAATAAACTTCTCAGGCACACCGTTCTTCAATAGACAATCTCAGAGAACAGTCCTGTCCAACGAATCGAAGGTAGCCCTGATATGAAGAAACACTACGATTGTTCGCCTGCGATAAGTATGGTGGTGTTGTAACATTTGGCGGAGGGTGAAGATGTGATCAATGCATCCTCGACCAGAACGAAACTCACGAGTCAATCGTTCTCAGGTTTTAAACAACCTACGAAGAATGACAGAAGTCAATAGTTTGGACGCAATCGTAAGTAGACTTATCTCGCGATAGTTGTTACAGAAGCGCCAGTAACCCTTTTTAAAGATAGAGACCACTATCTACTCATTTCATGATGTTGGAACACTCTAACTACCAAACCTTTCCAAACAACACAGTCAGTTCCTTAACCAGAAAGTCACCACCATCTTTAAAATGAACCGGAGGTAAGTCATCTGGGCCAGGTGATTTGTAGCGCCTCAAGAGTTGGAGTTCCTCGCGGACTTCCGCCTCGTTAGGTGGATCAGTCGTCACCGGCCACGGGGGGCAGGACAAACTGGTTGATGTTGCCGGAGCAGCAGGCCAGTTGAACTGCCCTTCGAAAAATTCCACGCATCGTCCAAGACGTCGAGAGATGTTAGTGATTGGCATCCCATCATCCTCGTAGATTGTTTACTCACACCAGACTTCTTGCTGCCAGTGGATCGGATGAGTTGGAAGAGGTTTCTGCAGTTACCAGATTCAGCCGCTGCTTCTAACTCATTAGCACGCTCCGACCACCATGCTTCTCGGTCGTTACGCAAGCTTTGCCCGATTTCATTACGTTACAGCCCTCGTTTGTAGCCAAACTCACAGTCACCCGGAGTAGACGGACGGGCTTCGATCAGTTGTAAGGAGCCTGAAAAAACCCAATGCTTATAAGCTTGACCTTTCGCGAAACCACCAGCTATTTTATCAGCCATGGGATCGTGTAATTGCAACCAGTACTCATCTATACTTTTCGGTGGGATAGTAGCTAGCCTTGAACCTAGCTCGGTGTTGATGTTTAGTTGCAACAGGAGCTCCACCAAACTCACTGACATCTACCTGCTTAGGACGATGAATTGTTTAACCCCAGAAAAGTAAGGTAAGATTAACGCAAAGAAAGGAATGATCAGAGTCCAAATAGGTACTACAAAAGGAACGGCAGTGTTGTACACAACCACGCCAGTGGTAACGGGTCGCGATGGGATCAATCTGAGCCCAGGTTTGAGGTGAAGAGGGAGGACTCCAGGTGGCACATCGGCGATGAATGTGCTGGTAGTTAATGCTAGCGAGAAACAGGTTATGGTCTGCGCACAGTTGCAGTGGATGGTCACCGTTATCTGTTTTGCGACCAACAAGTCCCCATCGGCCACCTAAATGACTCTCTTCTGTGCCTAGACGCACGACCTGAACATTCAAGTCTCCGGCTAATACTACAAAATCTGTCGAACGCGCTTTCTGGAGAAGAACAATTAACTGGTTGTAGAATTCATCCTTGATTGCATCCGGGCTGCAATCTGTCGAAGCATAGGCGGAGATGACGAAAAGCCACCGTTTCTCACGCCGATTTTTTCTCACTTTGATAGAACTTTCTAATCTAACAGCACATAAGCGACTGTTAATGGGAATCCAATCGATTAGTGCTGCCTCAGCTCTAACGCCTAGTTGGACACCAACGTCGGGAAAATCAGACGAAAATGCAATGGAATTTTAAATGTATCACATAATACTTCCATTGGTAACGGTTTGGCCTTAGATGACTCATAAACACTCTTTCTATCTCGCAGTTGATTTATATGTCTAATAATTAGTGTATTTTCGACAATCACTTCATACAATACTGTACCATGTCGTTTTTTTTATACACCCAAATATCCATTTCGGCTTGCCAGGCCGGAAATCCCGTGCATAGACTAAGTCACCTACTTTGAATTCTCGAATTTTCGGGCAATTCCCTTTCTTATTTTTTTGTAGTCCACTCATTCTGTCTTTCGGGTTCAAAACATCAAAAAATGTTCTAATTGGTCGGCCAAACATTATTTCGGCTGGTGATTTCCCGCCTTCTCCTCCCATAATCTTTAAAAGAGCTCGTTTAAGAATATCAACAAATTTCTCTGCCTGCGCGTTTGACTGAGGGTGATACGGTGGAGTTCTAATGTGTTCGATTCCATTTTGTTTGCAGAACTCCGCAAACTCTGGCGACGTGAACTGTGTTCCGTTATCTGAAACCAAAACATTAGGTGTACCAAACCTACCAAATAATTGTCTCAGATGTAGCAGTGTTTCAGACGTAGATGGTCTTCGTACAACATAAATTTCAGGCCATTTTGAGTATGAATCTACCACCACCAAAAATATTGTCCACTTATTGGTCCAACATAATCAACGTGTAGTCGGACCCAAGGCTTTTTCGTTTCTGGCCATGGCTGGAATTCTTTCGGTACATTCAACGGTAAATCCCACAAACCAAATTTATCAATCCAATCAATACACAATAGGTTGGTATTACAGATCCCGGATACATAACATTTCCCGGTCATAGTCTTTTCACCAAACGTGAGAGGTAGCTGTATTACTCCAAGAAGAGTAATATTAGTTCCTGATGCATTCTTGGCACTATAATATGTAGGTTGATATCGGGGTCGACCAAGTGTAATCCAAGTCTCTCTGGAAATTAATGTTATGTCAAACCCAGTGTCGACTTGCAGTTTGACCGGTTTACCATTAAAAAAGATGATTACGTACTTCCTTTTGGAGGAAAATTGGTCACTTTTTGTGACCAGTCAGTCAGTCAGCTACAACGTAGAACCAGGCACATATATGCATCGGTCCAAGTTGCCACACCTCGTTAGCACAACAAGATGAACACCGGATTCATAGAAGTAGTTAATCTAGTGGTGGTAGTATATAAATTATAAGTTGCGTATAAGGAATATAGTACAGGAAGAACTACAGACATGAAGCAATTTTAATCTCAAGGTTTAAGGGAAGATAAGGATTGTATACACCTACTCCATTGTGATCGATTCTGAGCCATGTCACCTAGAGTCTCCAACCATTGGTTACGATAGTCACGCGGACCCCAACTAGGTAGTCTGCATCTGCCAACATGGCTCAGACTAGAAGTTAGTGACTTCATGCTCTGATGCCACGTTTTGGTTTGGCCGCCCCTAACTCTCTTCCAACCATCCCCAATACTAGTCAGCATTGCGCGTCGTGGTAATCGGTGTTCAGGCATACGTAACACATGGCCCAACCATCTCAATCGATGAAGATTCATGACTTCATCACCTGATTTACCATCATTCCTAATACCCTGTGTCTAACCTCACTATTACTTACCTGGTGATCCCAGCAGATGCGAGCAATATTTCTAAGGCATCTGTGGTCAAATACTAGTAACTTATGAGTATCTTCTACTCTTAATGGTCATGTTTCACAGCCGTAAAGTAGAACAGAGCGAACTGATGCGCAGTATACTCGTCCCTTAATTGATAGACGGATATCTCGTCTTCGCCATAGGTGATGTAAGTTGGCAAAAGCCAAACGAGCTTTTCGAATCCGTGCTGAGATTTCGTCAGACACCAACCCATTAGGGCTGATCAGACTTCCAAGATAAGTGAAGTTGTCGACGCGTTCGACTACTTCACTCCCTATCCTTAGTTCGGGTGTTGACGCAGGCCAGTCCTGGAGTAACAATTTACATTTGGATAGGGAGAAACGCAACGCAAACATCCTGGCATTATTACTCAGTTCTAACAAAAAACTCTGCATTTTGTCAGCGTCTTCACCAAACAGGACTATGTCATCTGCGTATTCTAAGTCGCTTAGTGGTCCCCCTGGTAGGAGATCAATTCCTGAAAATTCAGTCGACGAGAGTGTTATTTCCAGCAATAGGTCTATAATGAAGTTAAACAAAAATGGGGATAGTGGACAGTCTTGTCGGACACCACTTGAGGTTGTGAAACCAGATGACAGTTCTCCATAAGCTTTCACTCGACTAATAGTGTTCGAGTAAAGAGCCTTTACAAGGTTTATGTACTTCTGAGGTACACCTTTTAATGACAGACACTGCCACAGAACCTCTCGATCTACGGAGTCAAATGCTGCTTTCAAGTCAAGAAAAAATATCATTGTCGGACGCCGATAAACGTGTCTGTGCTCTAAAACTTGACGAATAGTGAATATGTAGTCGATGCAGCCACGACCAGGTCTGAAGCCAGCCTGATTTAACTGTGTTTGCAGTTCACGAGTCTTAGTTAGGCGCCCGATAATTATTGAGGCTAGTATTTTAGATGCTATGTTAGTCAGACTAATCCCTCTATGGTTATCACAGGATGATTTTGACCCCTTCTTATATATTGGGACAATCAGAGATTGTGACCAGTCAGATGGGATTAAGTCCAACTCCCAGATTTTAGCCAAAATATTAGTCGACCTAATCGCTAAAATTGAACCACCATATTTAAAGACCTCTGGAGCCAATCCATCTGGACCAGCTGCTCTTTCTCGTTTCAGATTAGTTATAGGTTTTCGAACTTCAGGTAGGGTCGGGGGCCTACTTCAATGTTCTATTCAGACTGTCTGGGAATAGTGGGTAGTTGTGCAGTAGCTGAAGGCCAGCTAAACCATTCTTTAAAGTGTTTCGCCCATCGTTCTAAACGTCTGGGCTGAGAGCAGATAGGGGTTACGTCTTTTTCCGAGATTGTCTCACTTACACTTGACTTCTTAATTTCGGTTTGTGACCAAAGCAACATTTGAGTTATGCGGTATTACTTTTAAAGTCTGCATCTTATTTCCTTTACGGAAGTTGTGCTGACGGTCAGAAAGCTTTGATTTACTTTTACAACATACTTGAGCATGACTATATTTACCATACTCGTTTTTTAATGTAGCAAACATTGGCAGAATGAGACTTACCCCATCGCCAACAAGACGTTTTATGTTTCACTTGGTTTGGGATTTGCTGGGAGTACGAATCTTTATTTCCATTAAAAGATTTACGTAAAGCATTAACTCCCACGTGTTTATTGTTCTTTTCTACGAGATTTGTGTCATGCATCAAATTAACCATTCTCTGACATTCTTCAGATGCTGATTGCAGACTTATATTAGGATGTTCGCTTTCGCTAGAATCCGTGTTCTAATATCTGCATCTGCTGAAGATTGTAATCCACAGACAAAAATAAGGCATTTGAACTGATCTGAGGACATTTCTTGTAAACAGAACCGCTCACATTCCCGGTTCACGATGCTTACGTACGTTACGTAGTCGTCCTGTACTTTCTTTACTAGTTGAAGACACTAGTGGAAAATTGATGACCGTTTTCCGAATATACGTGTCAGACACTCAACTGTTTCTTTGAAGGTTATGTCGGCTGGCTTCTTTGGGAGGATAAAATTACAGAATTTTTCAGATACTCCGTGCTGTCGTAATAATAATCTCAACTTTTTACCTTTCGTCCCACTCTTTACATTCATTAATAAACAAATCCTCATGGCGTTTAAACCACGCCTCAAAAGTAACTCCACTTTCTGGATCAAATATAAATTCAGTTATTGAATTTGCAATAGAATCCGGAGTCGTAGTGGAATTATACACATTCGTTCTTGAGGATATTGACATATTTTTGACTAATAATTCGATAAGAGTATTTCGCTGTTGCAATAAGGTTTTCAGACCATATATATTCCTACTTTATACAACCAGTCCATCAGTGTAAACGTCTGAACACCGTCAATAAACATTGTGCAACAAATAGTGTGTCTACCGCGTGCCAAGTCACCCGTCAGGATCCTATTTCTAAATATCTCTATTCCACATCCGCCATTTCTTTTATAGACTATTGTCACCTTCTTGGTCTTCGATCGACTCAGATGTGTCTGTTGGTCCTTTATTCGCAAGCTTTTCTCTATACTCTGCGTTGAGTCCAAAAGTCAGCAATTAGCTTCTATATTTATATTTCAAACAGAAGTGATTAATATACGAACACACTGGACAGTACCACACCATAAATTAAAAAACAACAATGGTACATAAACAGGCCAAAAGTAGGTGTAAGTAGTAGATTGGCAACAATTTAGGAGTAATAACTCGTATGACAGTAGTTTATGGGGTAGCCGAAAGCTTATGATAAACGGAATACATATACATAGTGATCTAGTTACTTGGTAATTATACTATAACAATAATCCATGAAATATATATATATTTTAATACAGATATGTGATACTTATCCACCCGTATTATATGTTCCAAGTATGGTATCAAAGAATATTTTGTATGGAAGTTCACGTTTTCGCAGTCGTGGCCGATTTCCTGTCTTAACTTACTTACATCCAAATGGGAAGGTTAGTTAGTCGTGTTTATTTGTTTGCTTCCTTCTTTGTGTTTTGAACAATATTTTCTTTGTTCGTCACAGTTATTCCCTCCTTACTTACCTATATTTTCTTCGGGTCTTTCCTGTCATGAGAATTTATATCTAGTGTTGGGTCATGCATTCATTGATAACCTGTAGAGTTATGTAAGCCTACATATGACTCCACTGATTATTGTACAAAGTACTTGGTATAAGCCAAAAATCGTACGTTAAACCTTATTATCCGATGAAATCTGATATTTTAATGCCATTCATTTAAGCTGTTCAAGACCATAGATGTTAACTTGTTAAAAGTGATCAGTCCAAATAGTGTAACATAATTTTTGATTGTGGAACTAATCTGTACTTAAATTTGAACTAAGTATATCTTTTCTCTTAAGCGAGAGGCGTTTCTTCAAAGTTTCAAGTCTTATCGTGTATCGTAGTTGTTGTTGTTGTAGGCGTACATATGGCTTCTGGTGCCGCTGCTCTTTTAGAGGTTCTTTAATTAAGATGTTGAAGATTTCCAATGTTCCCCTGTTTTTAAAATTTTTCCAGATAATTTAAATCCTTGACGATTGCAATAACCACAAACTACGCAACTGAACAATTTTTTTGATAAATTGTGTGGTTCCATAGCAGTTATACTTCTGACCATTTATATGGACGTAAATATTCTTTTAAACAGCTCTACAATGATTCAGCGTTAAGTGATTTGTGGTCAAGGTGAAATTGTACGGTCTCTCACTATATTAATTTTTGTGTTAGAATGTGAGTATGGAAAGTGTATGCATTTGTAATATGAAGTGGTGGGGTTGAAATTGTGTAGAAAATAAATAGGGTCAAATATGGTTGTTTAGATAAACAGTCCAGGTTGGATGAATATTCGGGCCTTCTTTCCTATTGAGGGCGCAGGGATTTAACATTATGTGAAACGCTTTGGCTACTCGCCTCAGAAAATAAACACGTTCTCAGGACACATCAAATTCACTTTCGAAAATAAAGATGAACATAGTGAACTACCATTGTTAAACTGTTCAGTTGAAAAGAATTTAAATGGTAGTGTAAATCTAGCTATATACCGATAACTAACCCATTCTAGTCGTCATAATAATTTTAACTCTAAACATCCATTCCGTGCGAAAATGCTTTTAGCCTTGAATCTACATTTGCTGAACGATTCGCCATCTTATCATGTACTTACCTTAATATACTTATGTGGCATGATAAATCAAATTGGACGTACTATAAATTCTACCTTATCAACCAACAACATAAAATTTCTTTTTAAAAATCTAAACCCCCGTAATTATAAAATACACTTAATTGACTGACTGTTGTACACAGCTTTGAGTTGTGTACTTTAGTTTCGTTTAGGGCTAGCAATACTACCCGGTTATTTCAACCGAAGTATGTTGGGCGGATTTCGGACCTTGGATATACGAGTAAAAAATCAAGTAAGGTACTTTAATCAATCGGTTCGCCGTTCCATCAAACTATGTTAAACAGTCTGACTGTTCAATTTTCACTTTTCTTATGAATGTATACAACCATATCTAGTCAGCTTTATGTCGAAGTAGTCAACCATTGGCTGGTTTTTCATCGAAATCAACTGAAGACCAGGTACTTTTAGAAGCCATACGTAATTCAAATCCCGATTCGAATATATTATATGTTGTTGATACGCGACCAGCAATCAATGCATTTACTAATCGTGCACAAGGCAAAGGTTATGAAGATACAAATGTTTATCGTAATGCTGTCATACAATTTTTTGATATAGAAAATATCCATGTTGTTCGTTCATCGTTAGAAAAATTATTAAAAGGTATGTGTATTGTTAAACACTTGTCTTGTATGTTGTGTCTTTGTATGACGTAATAACATTTGTTTCAATGTTGACATATTTCATCATATTGGGCTATAAACTGTTGCTGTGGTCACTGCCGATATATCCTGTGTTGTGCCAAAATGTTAGATAACTTAAAGTTATCTGCTTCGTGTTGTTTCAATCTCACCAACAAGTCATGTGATCTAAAGCAGCATTCTTCCAAGTTTGCAGATATGCCTTACTAAAGAATGCTTATTAGTGATAGTAATAAACTTTAGTCATAGAAGGGTTTCAGTAGGCTTGTATTTATTATTCATTTCGTAATTGACTGTACTATTTTGCGTTTTTTGTATTGTATTCATGTTCTCAAAAAAGAAAACTTAATCATCAGGCTCAATTCTTGTTCAAGATATAAAACTTAACATGGATTTTCTTGTTGCCATCTTTATGACTTCAAACGTAAGGTTAAGACATTTTGAAACAAAGACAAAGCCTACTATTTTGAACCTCATTTCTCGGTATTACATGTTTTTTTTCATGAGATCACTACAACATGACTATACATAATTGGAATAATTTTAATTGATAGCTTAACTCAGTAACTAAACACAATTTCGAAAACTTGATTTTGATATCCAGATTCGTTCCCGTTTGAGTGAAAGTATCCGATTATTCAATGTTAAGTAAACGTTGTAGGAGCTGGAAGACCATTGATGATGATAGGAAGTAGCCGAAGTATAAATCATTTAAGGTCGTTGATTAGTGAAGTGGACAATTTTTACTACAGATTTTGATTCATGCTACTGCGTAGTCAAAACAAACCTTACTAAACAATCTGCTCCATTAAATTAATCAGGACACACTATTTAATAACGTTTTCTATATGATTTGAGAATGATTGAAACTGCACGTGAGTGGTAATATTTTTCCTAAATAAAAATTAATTCTTCGTAGTCACAGGGATGACTTTGGTCTTCTGATCCTTCGCGAACCAGTTAGAGTGGCGCGTAAAGCACCACTCTATAACCGTCATACAAGAATTGACTTAAAATCAAAGAGAACGACACATATATTTTAGTGATATAACGAAACAAGAGATTGAAACGTTTGTGCTCTGAGGAACGAATTTCTAACTCTGACTTCAATTACAATCAACAAGACTGCTTCCTGTCCTCTTCCACTCTGCCCACTCACTAGAAACGGTATTCAAAGCTTTGTTGACTAAGACCAAAAGAGACTAATCATTCAAATGCACTCATTTATATCCAAGCGTATATATACAGTATAAAAATGTCCTTGGGAAGCGTCACAAAATAGCGTATTCAAAGAGGAAACAACCAATGACGTTTAAAGCCCTCCCAAGTGGGTAATACAACCTGAAGGTCAGTAGGTCAGTCAGCTACAACGTAGGACCAGGCACATATATGCATCGGTCCAAGTTGCCATACCACGTTAGCACAACAAGATGAACACCGGATTCATAGTAGTTCATTTAGTGTTGGTAGTAGTATATAAATTGTAGGTTGTATATAAGGATATAGTAATAAGAGTAATATTAGTTCCTGATGCATTCTTGGCACTATAATATGTAGGTTGATATCGGGGTCGACCAAGTGTAATCCAAGTCTCTCTGGAAATTAATGTTATGTCAAACCCAGTGTCGACTTGCAGTTTGACCGGTTTACCATTAAAAAAGATGATTACGTACTTCCTTTTGGAGGAAAATTGGTCACTTTTTGTGACCAGTCAGTCAGTCAGCTACAACGTAGAACCAGGCACATATATGCATCGGTCCAAGTTGCCACACCTCGTTAGCACAACAAGATGAACACCGGATTCATAGAAGTAGTTAATCTAGTGGTGGTAGTATATAAATTATAAGTTGCGTATAAGGAATATAGTACAGGAAGAACTACAGACATGAAGCAATTTTAATCTCAAGGTTTAAGGGAAGATAAGGATTGTATACACCTACTCCATTGTGATCGATTCTGAGCCATGTCACCTAGAGTCTCCAACCATTGGTTACGATAGTCACGCGGACCCCAACTAGGTAGTCTGCATCTGCCAACATGGCTCAGACTAGAAGTTAGTGACTTCATGCTCTGATGCCACGTTTTGGTTTGGCCGCCCCTAACTCTCTTCCAACCATCCCCAATACTAGTCAGCATTGCGCGTCGTGGTAATCGGTGTTCAGGCATACGTAACACATGGCCCAACCATCTCAATCGATGAAGATTCATGACTTCATCACCTGATTTACCATCATTCCTAATACCCTGTGTCTAACCTCACTATTACTTACCTGGTGATCCCAGCAGATGCGAGCAATATTTCTAAGGCATCTGTGGTCAAATACTAGTAACTTATGAGTATCTTCTACTCTTAATGGTCATGTTTCACAGCCGTAAAGTAGAACAGAGCGAACTGATGCGCAGTATACTCGTCCCTTAATTGATAGACGGATATCTCGTCTTCGCCATAGGTGATGTAAGTTGGCAAAAGCCAAACGAGCTTTTCGAATCCGTGCTGAGATTTCGTCAGACACCAACCCATTAGGGCTGATCAGACTTCCAAGATAAGTGAAGTTGTCGACGCGTTCGACTACTTCACTCCCTATCCTTAGTTCGGGTGTTGACGCAGGCCAGTCCTGGAGTAACAATTTACATTTGGATAGGGAGAAACGCAACGCAAACATCCTGGCATTATTACTCAGTTCTAACAAAAAACTCTGCATTTTGTCAGCGTCTTCACCAAACAGGACTATGTCATCTGCGTATTCTAAGTCGCTTAGTGGTCCCCCTGGTAGGAGATCAATTCCTGAAAATTCAGTCGACGAGAGTGTTATTTCCAGCAATAGGTCTATAATGAAGTTAAACAAAAATGGGGATAGTGGACAGTCTTGTCGGACACCACTTGAGGTTGTGAAACCAGATGACAGTTCTCCATAAGCTCTCACTCGACTAATAGTGTTCGAGTAAAGAGCCTTTACAAGGTTTATGTACTTCTGAGGTACACCTTTTAATGACAGACACTGCCACAGAACCTCTCGGTCGACATAGTTAAAAATGGGCGATTTTGGAGCGATAATGAGAAATTGAAATTTTAACAATACAATACAACAAAGTGATTGTTTAACACTCTATAGTTTTCATTGACTGTTTAGCGAAAGTCAATTTTTTGGTATAAATGAATTCGAATTGAATTTTCTCTCCAAATCTCTCATACATCAAGAAATCGGCCACAGGTCTCAAGAATCTAAATATTTATTAATTTATATAAACACGTAGAAGCTTGTACAACAAGACATCAAAAAATAGTATGCACCACATAAAGTATGAATAATATTGTAGAGAAAAGGAAGTACATTTGTAGAAAACGAAAAAAAGAAACTTGTTAATACTTACGGTATAATAGGTGAAACAGTTTAGTTTACAATAAAAACGAGACAATTCAGTTCGAGTAGTGGAGCTCACATTTAAGTACAAAAGGAAATTGCATCGTGATCGCCATTAGTTTCCGTTCTGTACCATGTGTAATAACCCCTCAAACCTTTGATCCGCATCATTTATCGGACCTCAACCAGGTAGTCATGATGGGTCGACGGAATGCGGTTCTGTAGAGCATTCTTTGACACCACGGTGATATATCATAAAGTGACCACTTCTCTACCTTTTCTATTCCATCCTATCGTTGGCAAGTATAACATCCAGGCCACTATAGTCAATGTTTCAAGATTGTGACGCCAGACGAGTTGTCACTGTGCCTGAATACACTACCTGTTATATCCTAGTGAAGACATGAATACGGGTAACTTCCGGAACCTATTAATGCACGATTATTCTATACATATTCTTATTGTTTAATTATTGAGTAATTAGATTGTGTGTATCTATATTCGTCTTATTATAAGCTTCATTTTGACCTATAAATTATTATTATACGAATTACTGTCCCTAAATTATATTCAGTTTATTGATTATGGTCTCCCACGTTCACAGCCACATTTGGCTTGGTCCTGTTCAACATCTGCAGCTCGGAGAGACCGTGTTCATAAGGCGTTAAGGAATACCGCTTTTTTCGAATATTTACAATCCAAACGATCTTTTTTTTAAAAAAAACAAGAAATTCGTTGCGATTTCGTGCTAAAAATTCTGCGTTATCTAAACATGTGGTACTGAATAAAGTTTGCATTCTTATTGTTGTATGGTTGGGAGAAAATAGTGATCAGTTGGTTTCCTAAACGTGCTGGTAGATAGTCTAACAAGTAATTGAGGTCTCAAATATATATATATATTTCTCTGCCCTCGTACTTGGTTGTTGGCTAGCGCACGTTTAGTTTGCTCTACTTATGCGGACAGATATAGGTACTATGTAGTCGGAATTAGAAGATTGAAAGAGAGGAGGAAGGAAAACAGTTTGCAATCAGGTTAACAACATAATTGAAAGAATGATGAAGTGTGTAAAGATAACTCAAGGATGATATAAGGTATTTAATGTACGGTTTTGCATAAAACAAAAAATTAGTTTTTCCCACACACACTACACACATAGTAATCAAGTAAACCAATTGTCGTTTATCTGAGTTTTGTTGAGGCCTTGTAGAATAATGCTGGTTGAGAGATCAAGTCCACCTAGGGGAGTTGGAAAACCCTGATTCCAAACCAATCGTGCACATGGGCTCCAGTATCCTGGGGGAACAAATAGCGTACGAACCAACCGTTGGTCACCGGCTACCATGGGACTGCATCTTCTTACGATGCTTCACTGTCTTGTGGGTTAGACCTTTAGGTCAATCGCTCGGGATGTGGCTCCCTAAGAAAACCACCTGCTTCGGTTTGGGCATCTGGGCAGTATCACAGCCGTCACAAATAAATGAAATGATGAATTTTTCTGACAATCCTATTTACGCCCTTACTAAATGCCAGATAATTTACATTATTATTATTATTAATACTATTATTATTGGGAGCTAGAAAGTGTTCCAACATCATGAAATCAGTCAATAGTCTCACCTATCTTACAAAAGGGTTCACGTTGTTCCTGTAACAACTATCGGGGGATAAGTCTACTTACGATTGCGTCCAAACTATTGACTTCTGTCATTCTTCGTAGGTTGTTTAAAACCTGAGAACGATTGACTCGTGAGTTTCGTTCTGGTCGAGGATGCATTGATCACATCTTCACCCTCCGCCAAATGTTAGAACACCATCATACTTATCGCAGGCGAACAATCGTAGTGTTTCTTCATATCAGGGCTACCTTCGATTCGTTGGACAGGACTGTTCTCTGAGATTGTCTATTGAAGAACGGTGTGCCTGAGAAGTTTATTAACATCTTAAAGGCCCTGTATACAAACAGATCAGGCAGAGTGAGGGCATACAACTACCTTTCTCCATTGTTCCATTCACGCAGTGGGGTTAGAGAGGGTTGACCAGTCTCATCATTCCTCTTCCACTTTGCCATCGACGACATTCTGGAAACAGCTCTGATGGACGTAAGTAATCGCGGTGTGGATCTGTTGTCTGGAGAAAGACACCTCGACCTCGAGTATGTGGATGATATTGTCTTACTGTGCGATGATGCCCAAGCCATGCAATCCGCACTTAATCAGTTGGCAATCAGTGTCCGTAGGTATGGTATGTGCTTTGCACCTTCAAAGTGGGAAGTACTCCTACAAGACTGGCAGGATTCTAATCCTGTACTCACCCCGGTTGGTGAGCAGATTAAAGTAGTTAAGAAGTTCGTGTATCTAGGTAGCTACATAAGTGCTGGTGGTGGCGTGAGTGATGAAATCTATTCACATATAGCGAAAGCCACAGCGGTTTATACCAATCTGGGCCATCTCTGGCGCCTTCGTGATGTTAATCTGGCTGTATAAGGTCGGATCTAGAACGCGTCAGTGAGAGTAGTTTTGCTCTATGCTTGTGAAACCTGGCCTCTCCGAGTTGAGGATGTTAGACAACTGTGTTCGATCATCGTTGTCTCCGAAGGATTGCTGACATCCAGTGTCAACATCATGTTAGTAATGCAGAGGTTCGGCATCGTGTGTTCGGGCGCAGAGATGACAATTCAACTGGTGTCACTATCTTGAAAATATCGACTTCAGTGGTTTGGACATGTTCCATGAATATCGTTCCAGAGAATTCCACGTCGTGCATTATTTGCTGACGCCGGGACTTGCTTGAAAAAGTGGAGGTGGTCAGTGTTTGACGTGGTATGAAAGAAAGTTTTACAAGACTGGCTTCTGTTGGTCATTCACGACTCCCTGGTTGGGGTCCTAGAGATGGTGCGACAAAGTGGCTGAGGACGTTATCAGATATGACTCAGAATAGAAGCCAGTGGCGATCCTGCTGTTACGTTATTTTACTTTCTTCATAAAGAGTGGTTATATTTTTCTTAACTGAAAGAGTCTTCTGGTTGTATATTTCAGTTTTTCCCCAACATTACTCTTCTTTTTTTTCTCGTCCTATCTTTTTCTTTTATATATACTCATCTTCCTCCTTTCACCTCCCATTTTATTGTTTTGTGTGGTGTATATGTATCTGGGGCCCCTTTGTATCAATATGTGTTTAAATAAATAAATAATAAAATCAAGTATAAAGCGAGTGAGTCGTATACTCAGATGAATCCTTCACTGTTCTTCCTAGGCAATTTAGTTTTTCATTAGTGTAAAGGAGAAATACAAGCGTTAGTTCACTTACCATTCTGATTTCTTATATTTGTTTTCAATGTAGTATGCCGTAATCCAACGGTTAATTTGGAACAATTTACTTGTGGTTTGAATAAATCTGGTTGGTTGAAACATTTACATGCTATATTAGAAGCAGCCTATTTTGTTGCCAAACGATTAGATGAAGGAAATTCTGTACTTGTGCATTGTTCCGATGGATGGGATCGTACTGCTCAAGTTTGTGCCTTAGCTCAAATTATATTAGATCCTTATTACAGAACGTTTCTAGGGTTGCAAGTGAGTTAAAAACTAATGGATATTTAAATACGTAGAGATTTTTTGACCTGTATTGTACAAATAACTTGACTATGAAAAAGGAAGTTAAATCTATAAGACACCACACAGAATTATCCTACAACACGTAATTCCAGTATCTTAAAAAAGTCAGAATCATCAACAACGTGAAACATGTTCATGCTGATTATGTGTATTGATGAGGAAAGTTTGTTTGTTTGAAGTATTCGTTTGCTGTCTCAGTTCATTTTATGGTAGTGTATTTAAGAGTTAATGACGTACACTATATTGCGAATTATCAAACTGAAAGTAATGATAATTGTATTAAGCTTTCTTAACATATGAAGTTAGAAGATATACGTAAGTTTCTAGTATATATCCTTCTAGACATTTTTGAAGCACCTCTTGAGTACATTGAAATTGTCAGTTGAGTCACGTCCGGAGTTGTAGGTAAGGTAGGGTGGGGTGCTAGGTGGCTATAAATAATCAATCGACGGGACTGTAGATTTTCATTGATCGGTCATTTGGTTAGCATATGTAACGCATGTTCTAACCACAGTACCTACTCCAATATCTTATGCTGAATAGCATAGCAAACCACGAGCAGTCAAGCAAAATAAGACTGAATCTTAACCGTTTCTTGATAAAAAGTACTGTTACACCCCTACAGTAAGGCTTCTTTTTTGGACGTCAAGGTTGCTGCTTTTAGTCTTGTCACCCCCACTCCCAAAAAATTTTTCCTGTCATGGCCAGGTCCTCAGAGAATCAGTGCCCTAGCATATATATATATATATATATATATATGATATTGAGAAATCATGGGACGATATGGACTAGGAGAAAGGAACAATAAATGGTAAGAGATTCGCGAACCTATGTGCCTTCAATAAACTAGTCATAGGCCGCACCATATTCCCACATAAATGTATACACAGAGCCACATGAATTTCACCGTATCGCACCACATAGTAGCAAATAGACCATATCTACATTAATAAAATGTTCAGCAGGACGATGGAAGACGTGAGAACCAGGAGAAAAGCTGATATAGCCTCAGATCATCACTTACTGGTCTCCAAGTTATACCTGAAACTCAAGAAGCACTGGACGGCATCACAAAAGTTTAATACAGCCGTTCTTTGTGTTACTGACAGACTCAGCGAATTCAAGATAATCCTCAGCATTAGGTTCCAGGCCTTTCACGACCTATTCAGTGAAGAGGGAACTACCATGGAGAACAACTGAAAGGGGGGATCAAAGAGGCAATCACTTCAACATGTCAGGAGGTTCTGGGCCTCAAAAATCACCACCACAAGGAAAGAATCACTGTTGATACAGTGAATAAGATTGAAGAAAGGAGGAACAAGAAGACAGCAATCATTATCAGCAAAAGAAGAACAGGGAAAGCCAAGTCACAAGCTGAATACACAGAGGTAAACATGAAAGTGAAGAGGGGCATCAGGACTGACAAACGTAAATATATGGAAGATCTAGCAATGACGGCCAAAAAGGCTGCAAGAGGAAGGAAACATGAGGACTCTATGATACGACAAAGAAGCTCGCTGGAAATTACCGTAAACCAGAACGACCAGTGAAAAGCAAGGAAGGCAATGTAATCACCAGCATTGAAAAACAGCAAAGCAGGTGGGTAGATCACTTCAAGGAACTCTTGAATCAACTGGCCCCACTAAACCTACCCAACATTGAAGCAGCACCCACAGACCTCCCAATCGATTTAGGCCCATGAACAATTGAAGAGATCAGCATGGCCGTCAGAAAATCAAGAGCGGCAAAGCAGCGGGACCAGACAATATTCCAGCAGAGGCACTGAAAGCAGGCGTAGCAGTAACTGCAAAGATACTCAACATTCTTTTAAGCAAGATTTGGGATGAAGAACAAGTACCGAGAGACTGGAAAGACGGGTTTCTGATCAAGATACCAGAGAAAGACGATCTCAGCAGGTGTGAGAACTACCAAGGCATCGCTCTTCTCTCAATACCAGAAAACGTCTTCAACAGGGTGTTGGTAAACAGAATGAAAGACTCGTTAAACGCCCAACTTCGAGATCAGCACACTGTATTCTGTAAAAATCGATCATGTACAGACCAAATCGCAACTCTACGGATCATTTAGGAACAATCAATGGAATAGAGTTCACCACTCCACATCAACTTCATTGACTACGAGAAGGCATTTGATAGCGTGGACAAGACAACACTATGGAGGCTACTTCGACACCATGGCGTGCCTGAGAAGATAGTCAATATCATACGGAATTCTTATGATGGGTTAAACGACAAAATCGGGCATGGAGGACAACTCACAGACACGTTTGAGTTGAAGACCTGTGTCAGACAAGATTGCTTACTCTCACCATTTCTCTTTTTCCTGATGGTCGACTGAATTATGAAAACGTCGACATCTGGGAGGAAGTATGGGATACGATGAACTGCTAGGGTGCAGCCGGACGACCTAGACTTCTCAGATGACCTGGTTCTTCCATCGCACACGCAACAACAAATGCAAGAGAAGACGACCAGTGTAGCAGCAGCAATAGATCTCAACATACGCAAAGGAAAAAGTAAGATTCCCCGATACAACACAACACACTTTAATGAAATTGCACTTGACGGAGAAGCTTTGGGGAATGTAAAAACCTCTACATATCTGGGGAGCATCATTGATGAGCACGGTGGATCTGATACAGATTTGAAGGCACGGATTGGCAAAGCAAGAGCAGCATACCTACAGTTGAAGAACATCTGAAACTCAAAACAATTGTTAGCCAACACCAAGATCAGAATTTTCAATACAAATGTCATGACAGTTCTACTGTATAGGGCGAAAACTTAGAGAATTACGAAAGCTATAATCGCTAACCAGAAACTATCAGCAACAACCTACTGTGGGAGAAAACAAACTAGATTCCAGCGGAGGAGGAAGCGCGGGAAGTGTATATGACACACATTGATGATAGCACCCGACTGCGTCACAAGGCAAGCCGTCACTTGGAATTTCCAAAGCCAAAGGAGAATAGGAAGACCAAAAAATACCTTACGCTGAGATATGGAGACAGACATGAGAAGAATGAACAACAAATGGATAGAACTAGAAAGGAAGGCCCAGGACTGTGGTTTGGAGAATGCTTCATTAGGAGTAACAGGCGTAAGTCCATATATATATATATATATATATATATATATATATATATATATAACTTTATCTTGTTAGGCTTTGATTGAAAAAGACTGGATACAATTCGGTTACAAATTCACTGAACGATGTGGCTTAGTGTCAGGTGCTGATCCACGTGAAATCTCCCCAATATTCACACAGTTTCTTGATTGTTTACGACATTTGCTAGAAATCTGTCCAACTAAATTTGAATATAATATCAAATTATTACAGTACTTACATGATCAAATTTATTCAGCCGTTTTTGGAACATTTATTGGATGTAATGAAAAAGAAAGAATCCATTTAAGGTTAGTTGTTTTGTCTCCAATTTTTAAAACTCATTCACCATGTTCAGATTTGTGTATTTAACTTCAAATCCAATTGCATGTGTCTGGGGCTGGCGATACTACTCTCATCTGGTAGCCTGAACTGGAACAGGATGAGATGGAAGTCTAAAGCTACGACCTAATTACTGAGTGTTTTTATTATTAAGTCTCCATGGTGTATCTAGGATCTGACCCTGATGTATGCGTCGGTTCAAGTTGTTGTAGTTGCATCAGTGTAAAGAAATATAAATGGACAAAACACTCAACAAACTAGTCGTATTATTAATAATATTGTGTATGGTTGTGAAAAAGATCAATCTTTTTGAAAAATATAATTTAGGAAGAATGAGTGAATTCATGGGGTAAGAAAGTTTGAAATGTAGGGTGGTGGTTGGAAATAGTTTTCAAATAGCCGTTTGACCTAATTCTCGTTCTATTCGACATTCTTCATAAAGATGTACCTGTAATGTTAAGGGAAACGATGCTGCTTGGGAAATTCTATCCTGTCTCTTAGCTATATAGTCAACGACGTTACCCCTGAACTCGTATCATTACTGCACTGTAGAACTGAGATGCATTTACAATTCTAATCAATAAAATTTGATTAACACTAAGGACTTAAAGTTGGTCACTACTCAGTTATCAATTAGTTGTAAGTATGGAATAGTGTAGTGAACAAAACACTGGTTGGGGACAATCGAATGTATTTAAGCAAACATTACAGACTATCTCGGTAAATTCTGATAACCAAACAATGAACAGTCAATTTGCAAATTAACAACCAATTGTTTCAATCTTCAATGTTTCTTCTCTAATTCCATTGCTCATGCATTTTCCAAACGATTGCGCTTCATTTCAGTTCTTTCCTCATCGGTCTTCTGCGAAAATACATTCTATGTCTGACCGACACCATATACTACTTATATAGATATAAGTAGACCACACCACAATAGTAGTGTGGTGAACGAGAAGTCAAGTGAGTAATAATAATTTGCTGCATAGTACATTATTACAAAATGTCTTCGTAAAATATGAAAGCCATACATTAAATACATAATTTGCACATCTTCCATCAATTGTCTCTTACAAACATCGTCGCCCCTTCATTCTATTCATTATTACAATTACTCCCTGTTTCCCTTTCTGTTCTCTTCAATTTGATCTTCTCAACCTTCTGCCTCTAGGCATCCCACTTCTGATTGGTGCTCTATACTACTTATGTCTGTTGACATTAGTAGCATATTCCACAGCAGTAACTCGAGATTTTGTTTAAAATACAGACTTAATAGATTTTTTTACTGTGACCAACTTCAGACCTTACCGCCAAGCGTCTTCAACTATCGAATCTGATTGTTACGCGGGTGCCAACCTGGTGGAAGTGAGGATCTCCTCGAATTACCTCAGTTTTGCAACTTTTGTTGTTTTTATTAATTTGACTATTTCGTATTATCTCTAGAAGCTTCTACTACGTTATAGATGACCTCATCTACCACTGTACTTCATGTCAGCGTAATTGTGTCTACTAATATCTGGTTCTTGATCAATTAGTTAAGTATGAGTTGTCTGTGTTCACAAAGTTCAGTTCAATTAAACGTTTGTTTTCTCCCTCTGGAATCTTGATGCGGGTTATAGTATTATTCTATTTTAGAGTTCAACAAAGTACTTACTCTTTATGGGGCTATTTAAATCGTTATCGTGACAGATGGATCAATCCATTCTATGAACATAATTCTGTATGGACAGATTGTTTTATTGACGGGGGCGGTGGGAGTAACTACAAATACAATATATCATCAAATTTTGAAACCGATGAATTAATTACTGTTGGAGTTGAATTGATTAATGATGGTACAGGGAATAGTCGATATGCAGCGGATGTACTACCTGTACATGTTCTATGTGCACCTTTATTTCGGTAGGTAACAATCTGTTTATTCATTCCTATTATCAGCAAGGATTGTATTCAGTTTTTTTGTCCTTCTAGTTTTTATAATGTATGCAAAATAATTTCTTTGACTGAAATTGTGTTGAATCGACTGGTCAATCAATAAATTTCTTCCAGAATGTTCTGTGAAGTCTACTTTAAAGAGTATTAATATCTGTCATTTGCATGTAATCCCATAGATTGTTTAACTGAAACCAGATTTCTCACTGCTAACAGCTCATATAAACTGAAACAGCTTGTGACAGTTGTTCAATGTGGGTTCGGCTTCTAAGTTCATTTCTCATGTGAGAGATAGAAATGAAATTGTTGAGATTAAAGTCGAAAAAATTTTCAATAATTAGTAAAATAATAATAGTGATAACAATGAGTATGCTGTCGTATCTTGCGCTGTTCGAGAGTTGATACTGATACACATTTTCTATACCAAATAGGGCTACTGATATATCGGATAGTTTAAAACAAAGCTGTCACTCTCATGCATTATATATATATATATATATATATATATATATATATATATAGGAAGGAAATTAAACATATCAGTTTATATCTCATCCCACGCAACCAGCATCTGCAGCGAAGCTGCCCTCTCACAACGGAAAGAAGAGGTTGGAAAACGTCTACCCTAAAAATACCACACCTTACCCTGTGGATTTCTTCCTTTAAAGTTAAGATCTTTTGAAGTGCGAAGCTAAATTATCAAAAACTTCCCATAAAAAGGCCGTGCGCGACTGGCTTCAAGAAGTTATCGCTTGGGCTCTGCGTTCCTGCTCCCAAGTTGCTGAAACTACCACTAATTCAGCTTCGTTTTCGGTTCTCTCAAGACAAAAATCCTTCTGCGGTGTCGGCAGCCGGGAAGTCACAACCGCCCCCATACCACTATCAGCACCCGAGATCATCAAATCCCTTTCTCACCTGTTAATCATTTTCCTATCCCTATGTCTAACCATACTCTCATATCTCTATCACCACGCGCCACCAATGCTAATGATTTGAATTCACGAAATGTTATTCCTGGTATCCTGAAACCACAGTCTAAACTACATTTTGGAGTCCTTAATGTTCAAACTGTGTGTCAGATAGGACAGCAGACTTATTTAGCTAAGATTCTCGAGTCTCGCGCCACCAATGAATGCTGAGTCTTAGAAGCACACACAGGGTCCAAGTACATTCATTCTCTGACCTCAGCTTGTCAATGTAAAGAACCAGTACGATTTATCTTTTGTGCATCTGAAATCCCCACTTCTACCTCAATTGGCCTCGCTGGTGTAGGTATAGCCTTAAATTCAAAAGCAGAACATGCTCTCCTAGGCGGGATTTCAATAGACAGTTGTTTGCGCGGTGTTTGACTACGCGAGACAGTAAGAACTCAAAAAGACTAGGACACACGCCGCTGCCTCTTCGTTGTCTTTGCTTACTCTCCCATCGATTGCAGCTCGGACGAAGTTAAAGATGAATTTTATGGGAAGCCTATCCAACCCTGTTGAAAAAGCTAGACTCACTAATGTAGTATTGGTGGCAGGTGATTTTAATGCCCAAGTAGAAGACCAAGCCAAGTCGAAAGGCACTTAGGCGGATCTTACGGTGTCGCAGTTCAGCAAATAGATAATGACAACCGTCTGTTGCATCTGTGTTCAGATAACCGTCTATTTCTGACAAACACCAACTTTAGGCATAAGGAAGAACATCATCAGACGTGTCGACCTCTTCAATCGACTCATCGATGAACTCAAATAGACCACATTGCCATCAGTCATCGTTAGAAAGACGCGATAGTAAACTCGCTCATTCTGGAGCACATGTTTAGACTCCAATCGTTGTCTAGTTTGGTGATGTATTTGTCTGCGCCTTCCTGGTCTTAGAAAATCCATACCAAGAATACCCCTTAGAAGTCAACTTAATGGTGAAAACGTCAAAAATATATTTCAGGAACAACTAGAGAAGGAGCTAGTAAACCATGGAAGTGATGTCCACCACGAGGTAACTTGGTATGATATCCGAAATGCTGTGGAAACAGCAGTGATATTTACTAGTGAGTTAAACCAAAGGGTTAAGAAAAATCAGTGGATTTCAGTGGCGTCTAATGAACTCAACAAATGGTTGGAACCCATCCCGTCTGACTCCGAACGCGATGAGGAGCAGAGACATTATGCGTAAGTTGATCAAAAGCCTACGTAATGATCGTGGGCAGTAATGGGTGGTGAAAGTGGAAGAGGTGGAAAAGGCAGCGACGATGGGTAACAGTAGACAAGTGTTCAGACTTATTAAGGAAACGGATGTTAAAAATCCAGTTGCTAGTGAGATTATCTCAGATAAAGCCGGGACTTTTATTCACTCTTAATCTAGGATATTGAACCGACGGGCACGACACTTAATGTTGCAGTTCAACTGGCCATTCAGCCACAGACGATATCTTGACACAAATTCAGAAGGCTCGATTAATTTTGCTAATTTTCATCACCTGAGGTGTATGTGAAATATCGTTCTACCAACCAAGTAAGTTTGATCGGTTCTAAATTATTGATGTGATTCATGGCCATTAAGACGAGAGGTTAATCGCAGATTACTAGTATCCAATCGTAGGTGTTTTCGAAGCATTCTCGTGTATATTGAGACTACCTAGTAAACAATGTCGGAGTTAGGAATAGGTTTTTTAGGTAAGGATGGGAAATTGATTGATAAGGTAGTAAATCTTCATCGACTGAGGTAGTTGGAATGTAAGCCACAAATGTCCAACTGCCGCCTATTTCGACGGACGATGTTGTCTGGTATAGGATTAGGGTAAAAGCTAGGAGTGCTCAAATCGAGACGTAGACTCAGTCATTGACAGACGAACTGGATCATGATAACAGGTGTAGACCAGTTTGTTGCGGTCCGCATGATTATAATAACCAGTGGTAGAGACTTTGGATGACATGGCTCAAAATCTTCTACAATGGCACAAGTGCATCCATTCTTTGTCTCCCCTCAAACTTTGTTTTTATTTCACTAATTTATATTTTCTTCTTGAATCGTATTCTCGATACCTATTACATACGTATCAGGTTCTATGTTGCAACTAACTGACTGATCTGTATGTTGTAATTTAAATTAATTAAATTTTTTATGTGCTGAAAAACATTATATTATTGTGTTTTTTTTTCCTGAAGCAAAGGAATGACTTGTAGGAAATACTATCTCTACATGTAATTTATTGTCATTGATTCTTTTTAGTTTATGCGCAATTAAAGAATTTTATGATCTTATTTCTTGGCATCAGTTAGTGAAATATTTCACCGAGAAAATACTCACCTTTCAGTTCTATTTATATGAAATAATATAATTGTTTTGTATAAAGTAAAAAGCCTTATTGAATTGTCATGCTTTTGTTGATCAATCAATCGAAAGACATATATCCTTCAATTAACTATTCAGTGAATGTGTCAATTATAATTTCTTTACTTATCAAACTAAACATTATCATCAGTTTTGTGAACGTGCTAACTTTTAGCATAAAGGAGCTCACTGATTGTAAGGATGGCTCGTTGGCAAACTCAAGAAGCCTAGAAAGAGACGAAGACATTCCATCCAATCACCGCTAGGGGAACATTTTAGAATGTCGACCTGTATCTTCCCTATTGGATGAATAAGAGGGACCCCTCTATGTGCTTATTGGCTATCCCAAATGATGATTTACTTTCAGCCAATTTTTTGTACTGTATTTGACACTGTTTTGGGAATAAAATTCCTACTTACTAGTGTTCTGTCTTCTCTTTTGCGACGTTGCGGGTTCGTTCGTTCAAGAAGTCTATTAGTATGCGGCATAGCAAGAATCAAAGTTCTTGATATAACAACTGGCGACGGGGTCAATTTATCAAGATGTCTATTACCCTTGATCAATTTGAAGCTTTTCTAGAGCGCTATGAAGAACGTTTCGAACAGTTCCAGATTCGTATTCTTGAAACACAAACCCAGCAAATGAACCTCAACAAGAATGGACTTACGGATGGTTTTTCTAAATCACATGCTGATTATACCATCGATTTCATTCATTAATTTCATTTTGATGGTTTAGTTGGCGTAACATTGGAATCCTGGTACAAGAAATATGAAGATGTATTTAACATAGACCTAGAAACTTTTGATAATGCCGCCAACGTCAGAGTACTGCTACGAAAGCTGGGGACTATTGAACATGAATGATACACCAATTTCATTCTTCCCAAGAGACCTTTCATTCGAAGCAACAGTTAATATTTTGTCGCAAATTTTCGGTGAACAGTTTTCCCATTTAATACTCGGTATCAGTGCCTGAAGATAGTAAAAGCTGGCGACGATGACTGGGTGCAACATGCCAGCATAGTCAATCGTGAATGTAAGCGTTTTAAACTATCAGTAATGACAGAAGTCCAATTCAAATGTCTTGTCGTTTTTGTTTCACCAGAAGATGCCGACATCAGAACTCGAATTGCGAGTCAAATTGAACTGTCCAAATATCACCCTTCAAGAGGTGACTACTGAATGTCAGCGTCTGGTGAACTTGAAACATGACACCTCAGTGGTAAAAAATAATGTTCGACTCCCTTGTGTACAGGCAGTCAGTAGTCAGAAAGATCCCTATGTGCAAAAGCAGAACACAACCATTAGGAAGCCTCTATCCGCTGTTGGTTTTGCAGAGCGCTGCATTACAAAAGGTTCTACTCATGCAGAAACTACCGGTACACTAAATGTCAGCTCAAAGGACATAAAGAAACATGTTGTAAGAAGAAGAGATATGCTTTCCAGTTAAAAAAGGTAACGATTCATATTGCAGAGGCTGTTATTAGTGTTCTGAACTTAACTGGCTGGGCTAGACAGAGAGCAGAACTGATAAGTGCTCAAGACTGCTCATACGGCTTTTGTGTATCATTGCTCTAATCGATAATTCACTCCTCTCTAATTGGCGGTCTTATCACGTCATATATTAAACATGGCACGCATATCAATCGATATAACATTGATCACCCAAAACATTTACTTCATCATAAGTTAACCAATCGAATTACACCGTCAATTTGTAGACTTAAATTTTTCAGCAAATATCCCTGTTTTTATTCATTTCACTACAACAGTTTATGGCGTGATCTTTATTTACATTGGGAATGGCGTTTGCCTAAATATGATTTACAACGTGAAAATCATGTTTCGGATTATTTATCCGGTCTGTCAACTTTACTCGATCACAATCGACTTTTAGAGGCTAGAATCCGTCAGTTGCAAGAATTATTAAAGTGTAAAATTGTATTTGGTAAGAATGATCTATGTAACTCAATAGACAAATCTATCACATCTAAGGTAGGTAGGTGTTTGTAAAAATAAGTAATTTTTAATTATGATATTTATGTTTAAAGTATAATTAGTAAAAGGATCAGTTTGATGTTCTTACAGCTTCGAAAATTTATTGGGAACAGATAATTTATCCATAATTTTTCGACAGTTTGAAGTTACCATCAATAAAACTATTTGCTTAAAGAAGATAGTAACGTATTTAAGTAGCTAAATATTAAGTTATATAACAAATCAGACAGCTGGTGTGAATTTTAGGTTTTCCCTAAAGTTTATCCATGCATTAAGGTATCATATTTATGGTCCTGTATAGAGTAGCATTTCATTTATCTAAAGCCAAAGATTATGCGTACGTATTAGCGTTGATGGATTTGTAACTTCCAAGTTTATTGGATGTTAGTTGTATATATGACCGTACTTTGTACTACTACTTTCAGTTAGATATTTGATTAAATTTAAAATTTCATATCCGATATTGTCCTTTAAAAAAGAGGTATCGTGCATGCATATTTGGAGAAACTCAATATCCTTCGATAACTCGACTCATCATCATTCGTCTTTGAGGTTGAAGAGAGATGTCACTGGTGGTCTAGCCGGTCTGATGTAGCATTAAATCAACAGCATATTGATAGACCCGACGAATTCATACATGCAACATGTTACAAGCCAGACAGACCGAATATCTGTGTTGAGTCGGCTTCCGAGAGCTACAGCGGAGCTTCCAGAGGCCCTAAAAGAGTCGAAGAGTTTCCATCTAATCAGGACATGATGGAGCTTTCTAGAATATCAACGTGGAATGCTACTATTGGACAGTAGCATAATATGTCTCTTTGCGGATTGGCCGAATGATGACGTTGATTTAACAAATGATAATACCTATAAATACCCATGATTTTCTGTACATTTCGATTCTTACCAATTCAACACTTTTCCAGCCTTCTGATTTGCAACGGTTCAACCTTCGAGTGTTGTAGTCGTAAACTGTATTCTGCGTTATTCAAGTAGCGAACTGAACACAGGCGATGGGGTCATCTTATCAAGATGACATTTACTTTTGAACTATTGGAAGCCTTGCTAGAGCGTCAAGAAAACGTTTCGAACAGTTCCAGATTCGTATTATAGAGACTAACCCAACAAATGAACCTTAATCAAAGAGAGGTTACAGATGATCCTTTCAGATATATATATATATATATATATATATATATATATATATATATATATTAACCAATGTGACTATAACTAGTAATCTCGGAATCTATGGTTTGCATCACGGATTTGACAGTTGTTTCCTACTAGCATGGAACTCAGTAATGTCCATCAACAACTCCACCAAGAATCGTACCTAGGAGATGAATGCCAACTCAGTGGTCTGAAAGTTGGGCATCATGCGAGGCCTATAGACACTAGATCCTACCCCTAGTGATATCATGCAGATACGCCTTTAAATAAATCTCATTCTTGGACTAAATGAAGCTACCCAATGCTTTTTAGGTTTCATTATAGTCGTTCAGCTGATGTCAAACGGTGATGTAAATTACATACTGAACAATATATTGCACCATTATTTTCAAAATTGATACTTTACATATTTACATTAACAAGTCGTTTCTCTGGAACTCAGTCTTCTATAAAGATAACAAGGTTGTTCCATATACAAACTAGTTGTATATAAAACAACTATGTAATCTATGTGACTAAATTAATCATGTACTCACTAGTGACTAGTTTCAAGATGGATTTCCTGGAGTTCTAGTGAGAAGCCATGATCAGTAGAGTTCATTCCATATTGGATGAAGAGTTACCCGCCTCAGACAATGGATGAAGGGTTGCGCAAGATTATGGATCGATTAAAGTTAGAGATTAACATCTTTGGTTGCGGGCTGAGTGGTCTAGAGGTTGTGTTCACATGCGATATCGATAGTCCTGGGTTCGAGTCTCGCGTGCGGAATCGCCAAGGAGTCCCATACTATGACGGAACGACTGTCTAGTGATTTCAGGTTTTCAATGGTGGTTTGGCTTAGATCGACTCATGAACTCAACTAAATTAATTGTTCTGTTCAACATTACCTAAAATCAAACAAACACATGTTGGCGTAAAAACCGTGTATATTGTTTATCTCATTTAGGGGTTGGGATTGAATTTCATAAAAGTCTGTGTATTTATTGTTTGTTTTATTTAACTTCAACCATGTTTTTTTTATATTAAAAATTGCTCATAGCTCATGAACAATGATGAAAACAAACAGACAGTCATAGACACTAACTCCAATTTATTTCATTTTCAACGTACAATCGTATCGTCACCAACCCATAACAATAATGCTAATAATCATTCTCGTGTTCGTACAAAAGATAATTCAGTGACTAGTAAGCGTAATTTGAAGTTGATACATTGTATGGTCTTTGTTAAATTATTAAGGAACTGTTTTTTTTTCGTTCATTGAAAATCAGAGTAAAATACTCTGGGTGTTGCGCATATATTGAATAAATGTAATAATGTGAAATGAAGTTGGATTATAGGTATCTTTGAAGTATTGTTCGCGTCTCGTGGAACGACCAAGTGAGCGATAATGAAGTTTAAGTATGAAGGTTGCTAGGCAAAGGTAAAAATTCGGTTATTGAGATTGTTTAATCTTCATTGACTGAAGTGGTCATATGTATGCCTAACCACCATTTACTTTGACGACGAGCGATGCTTACCAGTGTGGGAGTAGGTTAGAAGAAAACCAGTGGTATGGCTATAACAAGATATGACATCAGTCCAATATGTCATTGACTGTCACACTTGTTCATCTAGATAGGCACTCCTGAATTGGGGTCCGTGGGATAATCGCGATCAGTGATCAGAAACATTGAGTGATACGGGCCAGAATCCGTCACTGTAACACAGATGCATTCTTTCTTTATCAGGCTTTCGATCTTGAATTCCAGTATTCCTTCACATATACTTTCCCACTCTGTCTTTCCGAAGGACATTCTCAGTGTTCATACTTTCTCGTCATTACTCCAACATTATTTCCATCTCTTACTTTCCATCGTATCTCCATTGATTTGATAACTCCTGTATTTACACCTGTCTAATAGCTGCCTCGCACCTACTAAAACATACTTTGCTTGTTATAGTCAGCATAGACACCACTGAGGGGAGGGTCTAAAGGTGATTAAAAAGAGCAAAGTAATTTCAGACTGAATTTCCTTATTTACATCATTTCCAATTCTAATCTATTCTACAACTGATGGGATACATTTTTAGTCTATATGATCTCAACACTTTCCTACCCCATATACCAGTATAATGAGCAAGTCAACTCATAATACGTTTTTCTTCACTCTGATTGATCAAGGTGGAATTTTAACACTTTCCTAGAAGTCTCCTATTCTGTCACATTCTTGTGTAATCATACGAAAATATCCTTTGTTGTCTGTATTTCGGCCTATTAGTTTCTAGAGTACGGCATTGAAAAACTGGGAACATTGTGCGCATTAAAAATTCAGTTAAGAATTCATATAATCACCAGAGTTCAATGTACTACCAGTCTTATCATTAATTTAATCAGTCGATGTATTTTGTGTAATACACAATTATGAATACACTTCAACCATATGTATAGTATGTTGGGAATTCAGACCGTAGTGGATATCACGTGTTCAGTTCTTCAGTGATATTTCCGATTATAATTTCTTCTATCTCGCAACTGCTATTCTCCCTGTAGCCCAGCATCTTGAGCTTAGTCAGTTATACATCCTGATCTGCACAATTGACCTTCAGTTGACGTCAACTCCACTCCTACTGATACACCTATTCTCAAATCTTTCTCAATCCACAGTCTTAAGTCGGAAGAAAAGTCAGCAGACAAACTTTAATTATTATGTTCCAATCACCGAGTCAACAACTATTTTACGCACACATTAGCTTATCTAAAAACGAATTATCAGATTTCACAGCACACTGAACAAGAAGTCACACGTTGAACATGTAGTGGCTGGTACTATGTCAAGCCAACAAAGGTTATTCTACCTTCTGAACAAACCAATTTATTCATTCAAGTCACATTTTATCTTGTTAACTATTCGCTTATTAATCTTGACTTTTTATTTAAGTGCATGTGTGTTAATTACTCATCCTGCTCATTATGCGTCTGACCATAATTATCGATTCACGCTTGGTTAAATCGAGTTGGCTTACTTGTATTGTCCACTGTGCGTCATTTCGTTCCGCTTCACTTTTTTTTCCCTGATTGTCTGTCGAGACCAATGAGTGTACAAAATACACTTATTCACACTTCATTCTTGTATTTGACTTATTTATATGCTTACGCGTATCAAGTCGATAATTATGTACGAGGGTCGGTGGTGTTATATCCTAGTGAAGATTAAATTATGGGCAACTTCTGAGAACTATTAATGAACAAAAATTATATATATATATATATATATATATATATATATATATATATATATAATAGCTATTCAGTAACTAGATTATATATATTTATGTTTCTCTTATTATACGCTTTATTTTGACCTATAAACTATTATTATACAATTTACTATTCCCAAGTTATGCTCAGTTTATTAATTACGGTCCCCCAAAATCACAGACAATTTCGCCTAGAACATGTACAAATGTTATTTCCTATTGTATGGTATAATATGGTCCGTTTGACTTGTATGTAAACCTAGTATTTTTGAAATAAATGATTCGTATAGTGGAAGCTGGTATTGGTGTTCGGGACTCAACTGGCGCGACTAGAAACACAAAATCGTTGGTCTGGCACACTACTAAGACTGTATAAGTTGTATTCCGATTGGCGAATAAGTCACGTGATATTAAATCAGGCTTAAAGGTCACAACAGGAGGCATGTACATTTCAATGACAATTGAGATACGATCTAGTTGGAATCAGATACAAGGCCACTAAAAACAATCATGCCATTACTGGTAGCGAGCGAAGTTGTATTGTCTAGTACCATGTCAAGCCTACATGTATTATTCTACCTCCCGTACAGATCTATTTACTAATTCTTTTCAGATCACATTTTGACCTTGTTAATTATCCGCTTATTAACCTTGATTGTTTTTGTATGAGCGTATGTGTGTGAATTGCTTATTCTGCTCATCACATGTCTGTAACTTATTTTTGTCTGACTATAAACACTGAGTCCCGTTTGATCGAACGGAGTTGGCTCCCTTGCCTTCTCCACCTCGCCTCACTTTCCCGCTTCTTCATTCTGAATGTCTGTCTGGATAAACGAATGCATAAAATAAATTCATCAACGACACCCGTATTTGGCTTCTTATTGCCACCGTTACACAAACAGAATTAGCCTAGGTAATATACGGAGTCAAATAGAAAATTTATGTTCATAGCATCTTCGTACGATCAAACCGGAATCAGAGACTGGACTACAAAAAAGCAAACAGGACGTAATTTGATGGCAACGATTAAAGATCAGAAAAACGCATAACATTGGTTAGTAGGTCCATCGAGAGTTTCTAATGGAGGAAACATGGAAATACAATAATACCAGTTAAACAAAATATATATGACAATAATCTGAGAAATAGTTCCGAAAATTTATAACCTTTACGATACTCGTCCCATTGTAACATGATACTAAATTGAGCTTTTTTATTCTTTTTCTCATCGAATAATAAATAAATAACAAATTTTTAGGTGATCAAAAACATTTATCTCAACCCACCATTGAACAGTTGAAATGCGAGTTGAGTATAATCAATGTGAACTGGACGCATTGCTTTAAATCAGGAAGTTTATGCTGTGTATGTAATAGCCTGTTAGCTTTGTCAAATCAATCGGTAAGTAATACAAGGTACTATGTAGGTAGGGTTATGACACGATGGCCTGTTCAAAAATCTTCACCACCATCTTTTCAATTGTTCATTTATATGTCTAGGATTTTCCTGTTTTAGACTTGTTTTAATAAGTTATTGTTTATCAACCACATATATACTTACACGCTTTCATACGATTTTTCTACAAGAAATCTTATCAAGAAGTACTATCACGGTGGTCCATATAATTTTCTTCTTACTTCTCTATCTTTTGGAGCAACGGATAGTAATTACCATAAAATTAATGCATCAGATATATTCAGGGATGAAGGGAGTTGCACTGAGAAAATACTGATCCTATACACTGAGCAATAAATCACTGTTTAAAAAGGATTTATAGTTTTTTTTTTGAATATTTACAAGTTAAATGTGACATTTTTGGAGAATCGGATACAGGTCAAATAACCTCTCGCTATCAGACAAAACTCGATTTCCTTCTCCAGGTTACGAAGCACATGTGGTTTGTCGAAAGCTTGGCCTCACGTTGTAAGGGATAAAGATATGTAAATAAAGGCAGAACAAATATTGATGCAGAATAATATGAATTAATTATATGTCGTAGTTTCTCATCAGCTGCTTACAACCAAATATGTATTAGAATTTTAGCATTGAGATGATAAATAGTGTGGAAAATAAGTGAATGTAGAGGATTGGGATGACAAAGGGTTATCAATGATAACTATGCATATAAATATATATGTGCAAGAAAAGGTCAGAGGTTATTAGGTATTAGAATGAAGGAAGCATAAAGAGTGGGTGGTGTAATTGAGTGGAGTTCAAAGACAGATAAGATAAAATGTGTGATAGCAGCCAAACAAAAAAGTACGACGGCTCTCCGGTTTGCTGAAGCGATCGTGATAAAAAAAACTCAAACTGGATCTATCTATTCAAAAAAAGACAGTGGTAAACTTATGACTACCCTGGTGATCCATTTTTTTGTTTTAGTTTTTTGGATATTAGATTTATTTTGGTTAATATTTAGTTTTCACTATATTCCTCTTCCATTACCCAATTCTTGAACCACCCTTTCTCTCACACATTTCCGCTCACTTGTCTTTTTTAAATTATATGAACTCTCCAAATTCTATTCAATTATTACGTAACCCATTCTATTTGTTTTCAATTCCATGACTCCTTTATTACTTCTAAAAATTACCACACGTTTTATCTGATGTCTTTGAACTCCACTCAATTACACCACCCACTCTTTATGCTTCCTTCATTCTAATACCTAATAACCTCTGACCTTTTCTTGCACATATATATTTATATGCATAGTTATCATTGATAACCCTTTGTCATCCCAATCCTCTACATTCACTTATTTTCCACACTATTTATCATCTCAATGCTAAAATTCTAATACATATTTGGTTGTAAGCAGCTGATGAGAAACTACGACATATAATTAATTCATATTATTCTGCATCAATATTTGTTCTGCCTTTATTTAAATTCATAAAGGTAACTAATTGCATGAAATAAAGACATATATTAATGACTTAGTAAATACACATTCCTGATTTGGTTTTAGTAATCAAAGCTTCGTTCTCACTCAACTAGCTGGTTTGGGCTACTGTGTAAGAAGCTTGTATATCAGTATCAGAATCGGACAACACAAAAAATAACCGTTCAAACGAAAGACACGCAATTATAGATCCAATCTATCAAGTCCACAGAACAAGCTGTTGGTCAATTGTGGAGAGATTTTAACAGCTCACTTCCTTTCGAAGTATATGCTGATGTAATCAAAACTCTATAATTAACCCATTGAGTATGGAGGATACAACACCGTATGAACATGTTTTTATGTCACTACTTTCCTTCTTGTTCTATGTAAATGTAGACAATTTTGTTAATTCAGAAGTTGCGGATTCATGTAAAGCTAAGTAAGCTTTCGATAGCATCAATTTCTTTCTAATTGAAATCCAATTATCCATAATGTTCCCCGACCGTGGGTTTTCAAAACATTGACTTTATGATATCGTGTTTATCACATTGTTTGTAGAAACATATGTCTACAGGAGGCTAGGTAAGTTTGCATTATAAATTGATTCGACAATAAATAACAAATGAGGTCACGTACTAATCAAGGGGTAAGGAAGAATTCTCTTTTTCTTATTCAATGACATTATGAGTTATTTTAATTGTTTGTAAAAACCTTTTGGGGTTTCGTCTTGTTTAAGGTCAGTGTTTGCACATAGTCAAGAAGCGTACTGTAAAGATTTTTTTGATTTTGTCAGTGAAATTTATGCTCAATGCCATATATTGGTCCTTATTTTAATTGTTTTTCCGGAAAAACAAACAGGTTCATTGTCATTCATGTGGTCTACTTACATGCTCTCGGTGTATTCATTCAGACCCTCCAACAATTCCAAGTTTATGGTCAAATGAACAAAGGTCTGTACAGTTTTGTAATTCATGCGTCTCCGAATTGCGTAATACCTGTACTTACAACAGCAGTACTAGTAGTTTCCATGTAAAACATTTTACTCAAGCAAAATCACTTGAAATTCCTGCTGCTACCACTACTGCGTAAATAACAAGTGTTTGTCTTCAACAGACCCACTGACTTTTGGATAACTGACTCTGTTTGGTTGATAATTGACAGATGTATGTGACATTCAAGTCGATATTCAGTTGTTTGTGTTGCATGGTAGATGGTTGTCTGTCGTCCCCTTTCTTCATCAAGATAATATGATTGTAGGCTTGAAGTACTGACAAATTATATAATTTCCATTAAAACTGAATTATCTGTGATTTAACTGGTTTCTTTCTGTTTTAAAACTATATTATTATTATTATTATTATTATTATTATTATTATTATTATTATTATTATTATTATTATTATTATTATTATTATTACGTTAGTATTCAACCACTAGTACCTTTTTCTCATTGTACATTTATTATTTGCATATACATGATTTAATAACATCACAATAACCTATTCGCTTGTTTTTGTTTGTCGCTTGTGATTTGTGTTGTTTTTCAGAGGGAATTAAATTATGTGGTCTTTCCTCATTTCTTTATTGATTTTCCCACTTTTAGCTTCTTGTATACATTCACCCTCTTGGTCAATTTTGTTTTTGCTGAATTTCATTATCATTTTCAATCGATATAGTAACGGTTGGTCGACCGAGAATTGTTTTCTTTTTTCGTTCGACTCTTCCTTCTCACACACCCTATTCTTGTTATTTAAACATTATATTTAATAATGAGACTTTTGTGGCCGTTTGATATGATTCCAGTTACATCGTATGATGATGTATTTCTGATTTTTCGTGAATGGGGAGTTTTGCGCTCATTACGAAAAGATAGAACGATTATCATTATTAAAGCTGACAAAGGTACTACAACAGTAATCATGAATAAAAGCAACTATGAAGAGAAGGCTCCAATTCATCTATCGATGGAACCATATTTAAAGATCGATTCTAAAAATTCTCAAGTGATTAAAAATAGTTAGATTCGAAACAAGTTTCCGTATGGTTTAATTCGTATTCTAAATCCAACACCATATCACGCTTCTTTGAGCTACCAAAAATTCACATCCTGACATTCCTTTAATGCACAAAGTGGACTTCACATATGCTTTATCTAAATATCTAGGCAGCATACTGAAGCCACTACAACACACCCTAATTAATGTCGTAAAGGATTCATACGAATTCAAATGAAAGATGTCGGAGTTATTCATCGACAAATACGCAACAATGGTAAGGTGTGATGTCGCATCCTTATACACTAGCATTCCAATTGATAGATGTCTGGACTTCGTTGGTGGTTTACTAGAGATTGATCATGTTCTGTCTAGCAGATGTCCATTAAGCATTAGTTCAATCATGAAATCCCTCAAACTATACTTAAATTCAATACTCTTCACTTTCAAAGGGACTTTATATAAACAAACGATTGCAGTCACCATGGGACCTTCAGGATCTTCGATTGTTGCAAATTTATGTCCCACATTGAAACGCTTGTTTTTGTCATGAGTATCTCTTTTAAGGTTCACACTTGAATGTCGACAAAGCAATAGGGAGTTTCAATAAGTATTAATATAGACGTATGCTGTATGTTTGAGACCTGTATCCAAAATTTTACTAGAAGGGTGTATTATGACTTCATCTATTTGAATCGGTTAGATTTGCATGATTTATTTTTTAACGATAGCTTTGTTTACTCCAATAAAACACCGTAAATCTGTAGGCGAATATTAAATAGAAAAATTGACTTCACGGTGATTAAGTCGGTCAGCCAGCAACAAACTTTAGCTATAAACAATGAAAAAAATGTCCGTTAGTATTACCTAACAAACACTAATAACTATATTCATCAATAAAGCGACAGCTAGCTTGTAATTAGTCAAGAAAAATGTGAGCGAATAAATTGTACAATATCGCAATAGATGTGTGCGCCATTGGATGTTTGCCTGGTGGTTTAGGCTCAAGACCGCCCAGCATTCTCCATCCAACCCTGTCCCTGGAAATCCCTCCCAGTTCTTTCCAGTTGTTATTCATCCTTTTCATATCTGCTTCTACTACCCGACGCAATGTGTTTTTTGACCTTCCCCTATTCCGCTTGGCTTCACGATCTCAAGTTAGGGCTTGCCTTGTGGTGCACTTCGGTGATTGTTGTTGCTGATGGTATCTGGCCAACGGACATTCAGTATCTTACGTAGACAATTGTTTATAAATACTAGTACCTTTTTGATGATAGTTGTATTAGTTGTCCACGTTTCAGCTTCTTACAGTAAAACTGTCTTGATGTTCGTATTGAAGATTCTTACTTTGATATTGGTTGGTTTATTTATCTAAATCCATACATATTGGCACAAAAAAGGCAGCAGATACATATGCTCCACACAAAATAATGAAAGTAGGAAGATAAGGTGGACTGAAATGTACAACCAGAAGACTCTTTCAGTTAAGAAAAATATAACCACTCTTTATGAAGAAAGTAAAATAACGTAACAGCAGGATCGCCACTGGCTTCTATTCTGAGTCATATCTGATAACGTCCTCAGCCACTTTGTCGCACCATCTCTAGGACCCCAACCAGGGAGTCGTGAATGACCAACAGAAGCCAGTCTTGTAAAACTTTCTTTCATACCACGTCAAACACTGACCACCTCCACTTTTTCAAGCAAGTCCCGGCGTCAGCAAATAATGCACGACGTGGAATTCTCTGGAACGATATTCATGGAACATGTCCAAACCACTGAAGTCGATATTTTCAAGATAGTGACACCAGTTGAATTGTCATCTCTGCGCCCGAACACACGATGCCGAACCTCTGCATTACTAACATGATGTTGACACTGGATGTCAGCAATCCTTCGGAGACAACGATGATCGAACACAGTTGTCTAACATCCTCAACTCGGAGAGGCCAGGTTTCACAAGCATAGAGCAAAACTACTCTCACTGACGCGTTCTAGATCCGACCTTATACAGCCAGATTAACATCACGAAGGCGCCAGAGATGGCCCAGATTGGTATAAACCGCTGTGGCTTTCGCTATATGTGAATAGATTTCATCACTCACGCCACCACCAGCACTTATGTAGCTACCTAGATACACGAACTTCTTAACTACTTTAATCTGCTCACCAACCGGGGTGAGTACAGGATTAGAATCCTGCCAGTCTTGTAGGAGTACTTTCCACTTTGAAGGTGCAAAGCACATACCATACCTACGGACACTGATTGCCAACTGATTAAGTGCGGATTGCATGGCTTGGGCATCATCGCACAGTAAGACAATATCATCCACATACTCGAGGTCGAGGTGTCTTTCTCCAGACAACAGATCCACACCGCGATTACTTACGTCCATCAGAGCTGTTTCCAGAATGTCGTCGATGGCAAAGTGGAAGAGGAATGATGAGACTGGTCAACCCTCTCTAACCCCACTGCGTGAATGGAACAATGGAGAAAGGTAGTTGTATGCCCTCACTCTGCCTGATCTGTTTGTATACAGGGCCTTTAAGATGTTAATAAACTTCTCAGGCACACCGTTCTTCAATAGACAATCTCAGAGAACAGTCCTGTCCAACGAATCGAAGGTAGCCCTGATATGAAGAAACACTACGATTGTTCGCCTGCGATAAGTATGATGGTGTTGTAACATTTGGCGGAGGGTGAAGATGTGATCAATGCATCCTCGACCAGAACGAAACTCACGAGTCAATCGTTCTCAGGTTTTAAACAACCTACGAAGAATGACAGAAGTCAATAGTTTGGACGCAATCGTAAGTAGACTTATCTCGCGATAGTTGTTACAGAAGCGCCAGTAACCCTTTTTAAAGATAGAGACCACTATCTACTCATTTCATGATGTTGGAACACTCTAACTACCAATCCTTTGCAAACAACACAGTCAGTTCCTTAACCAGAAAGTCACCACCATCTTTAAAATGAACCGGAGGTAAGTCATCTGGGCCAGGTGATTTGTAGCGCCTCAAGAGTTGGAGTTCCTCGCGGACTTCCGCCTCGTTAGGTGGATCAGTCGTCACCGGCCACGGGGGGCAGGACAAACTGGTTGATGTTGCCGGAGCAGCAGGCCAGTTGAACTGCCCTTCGAAAAATTCCACGCATCGTCCAAGACGTCGAGAGATGTTAGTGATTGGCATCCCATCATCCTCGTAGATTGTTTACTCACACCAGACTTCTTGCTGCCAGTGGATCGGATGAGTTGGAAGAGGTTTCTGCAGTTACCAGATTCAGCCGCTGCTTCTAACTCATTAGCACGCTCCGACCACCATGCTTCTCGGTCGTTACGCAAGCTTTGCCCGATTTCATTACGTTACAGCCCTCGTTTGTGGTCAAACTCACGGTCACCCGGAGTAGATCGACGGGCTTCGATGAATTTTAAGAAGCCAGAAGAGACCTAGTGCTTGTAAGCGGGACGTTTTGCGAAGCCGCAAGCGGTTTTACTCGCCATTTTCATGGCGTCATGACGAAGCAACCAATGCTCATCTATACTTTTCGTTGGGATGGTAGCTAGCTTAGAAGCTAGCTCCGCTTGATACTTACTTGCAACAGAAGTTGCAGCCAGTTTACTAATATCGATCCGTTGTTGGCGGTCAATCCTTCGGCCACTGAAAAGTAAGGTAAGATTAACGCAAACGAAGGAATGATCAGAGTCCAAATATGTACTTTAAAAGGAACGGCAGTGTTGTACACAACCACGCCAGTGGTATCTGGTCGCCATGTGATCAATCTGAGTCCGGGTTTGAGGTGCAGAGGGAGGACGCCAGGTGGCACACCGGCGATGACTGTGCCGGAAGTTAGTGCTAGAAAGAAACAGGTTATGGTCTGCGCACAGTTGCAGTGGACGGTCACTGTTATCTGACCTGCGAACAACAAGTCCATATCGGCCACCTAAATGACTCTCTTCTGTGCCTAAACGCACGATCTAAACATTCAAGAGCGAATTTGTAGTACTTCACTAGAGTCTTGAATACGGGTCTCGGATAGGCAACAAACGTCAACATTAAGACTTTCTAAAGACAGCCAACCCCATCTGTTGTACGATCTGCGCTAGTGTGCGAACGTTGAAGGAACGGCGTACGTGGTTTCAGAAAGACTGCTTCAGTACCCGTAATCGGTGGAAGCATTCACTTTGGACCAGACAATGACTAGAGATCATTTAGATAAAACAGAGTTTCCACCATGGGCGAGCTACTGCATAAGTTGAAAAGGAAGGATACACAATTTGGGAATAAAGGGATTGAAAAAGCGACGTAGTAAATAGTAATAATGATAATGTAAATTGTCTTTCTTCTATTAGGAACGAGAGCAGTGTAGT